GGCACGGCTCCAAAGGACGTATGAACTCACACTGGATTTCTTAAGACCGATCTTAACGGAACCAAGATATAAAAAGGACGCTAGTAAAGCTGTTATAACAAGAAGCAAAGCCAAGGAAGCTAAAGTCTTCATAGACTGGTTGAAGTCACTACTACCTTCACACGTAGTCGCTTGTTCTGATAGCTCGAAATCTCTGGAGGGGGCGGTGGGCCATGGATACGTGATCTATAAAGGCCAGACAAATATTGTCACAGCGAGCGTACTGAGTCCAGTCCCTTCAGAACTATCCTGATGTTCTGGAATGATAATGGTACTCATCGTCACAGTGTGTTGGACGGAATCAGTAGTAATGGTAGGTGGGATAATAAAGGGATAATAAAGTCTTGGGATAGGTGGGTGTTCGGAGACACTGCACCTGTCACTGCTAGAGGCAAAACTCCTTGCAGTGGTGATCTGAAGACAAGGCTTCTAATCTGGTAACATCTCCCACACCCCTGCGAACCACCCCCCCGCGGACCAGCGCGTTCTGACCCACAAACGCGTAATTCACCAACCACCAGGATTATGGTGATCCACCATCTACACCATCACTTTTGCATCTTTTTTTTCACAAAGCACACTATTTGAATCCTTATCCACTGCTGAATCTCATGATGTCATTTTACGACCGTCAAATAAAAGCTGAAGCCGCCATTTTGGCCATCCAACGCGGAGCTCCAGTCTGCTCGTCAGCCCTCAAATGGCAAATCAGTCGCTCGTACGTCAACCGACAAATCTCTGGCACCCCAACGCGGAATGAGACCAGCGCTCTCCAACAGGCTCTTTCACCGTATCTCGAACATAAGCTGGCAAGCTGGGCCCTGGGGCAAGCACGGCTAGGGTATTCTCCGGCGGTCTCTAAGTTCCGTCTCATGGCCCAGCGGATGCTCCATGCCACCGGGGATACTCGAGAATTAGGGAAAAATTGGGCATCCAAGTTCCTGTCTCAAAACCCAGAAGTCAAGATAATAAAGTCTCGTATTATCGACTACAACCGAATGAATGGTGCTATAGCGGCAAATATCAACATTTTTTTTAATCAGTGTGACGCCCCTGACATGGTTAACCTCATGCCAGCACGCTGGTACAACGTCGACGAAATGGGAATCGCCCAGGGGGTTGGGGACTCCCATTGGGTGGTCTCCGAGGCCTCCGGCAACGTGGCTATAAAGAAAAGGGTCGAGAAGGGTGAATGGATAACTGCCCTAGAGTGTGTGAGCGGATCTGGTGAGACCTTGCCGCCGCTGGTGATTCTCAAGGGGATTAATGTACAAGCCCAGTGATTTAGTAATCAAAATGAGGGCAAATTCACCGACTGGAGGTTTATTATGTCGCCCAATGGATGGACCTTAAATCCCATTGCGTTAGAATGGCTTTAACGTATCTTTATTCCTCACATTTGGGAGGTCCACGGCAACACATGGGTGGTTTTGGTGTGTGATGGCCACGACTCCCACACGAATGACGAGTTCCTAGCCACCTGTTTGAGAAACAAAGTATGGTTGATCTTTTATGAACCTCACTGCTCCTATGTAGTCCAGATGTTAGATGTGGGAGTCTTCAATTTGGTAAAGAAGAGGTTAAAGACCTTACTCCAGGAGACGCCCAGCGGCTGTCTGGGACTCAGGCCATCTAAGGAGGAGGTTTTGGAGTGCTACGAACAGACCCGGAAGGACATAATGACACTCCTCAACATCAGAATTGCCTGGAAAAAGACTGGGATTGTTCCTCGCAACAGAGCGGAGGCATTGAAATCGAAATATGTGATTCTGGAGGACAAGGGGGTGGCCAGGGCACGCCAGAGGGACCCTAAGGCTTCCGAGCGAGTCACAACACCAGATTTTCTCGAGATGTTAGCTAAAACCATTGTCATAACACCCTCTGGAAGCCGGGCTTTGCGGGAGAGTGCTCGAAAGCTCGAAAGAAAGGACCCTTCCTTTGGGGGGCCCTCTGAGCGCTTGTTGGTGCAGAAGGCTGGCAAGGCCATAGATGTTCAGGCTGCTACCATTGCAAATCTACGGGCCAAATGTGAGCTGCTTGAGGCTCAAGTGGCTAAAAAGGCTAATACCACTCGAAAAGCAGTCAAACCAACACCAGGGGAACGATTCGTCACAATGGCTAACATAAGGGAGGCCAAAATGGAGCTGAGGAACAGGAGGGTCTATAGGGACTCCGCTGCAGGCGAAGAGGTCCCACAAGAGGTCCCTGGTGAAGATTTAGGGTCGGAATCGGATTCTGGGAGCTGTATTATGGTTAGAACACCACGACCTTAGTGTATTTAGCAACTGTGGTGGTTGTAGATGGCTTCATCTGAATGAGAGTGGTGTGGTGTGGAGTGGTCCGTGGGGGGGTGGTCCGCAGGGGGGGGTGAGATGTTATGGAGGAGTCTTGATATTATGTCACGGCGAGCGTATTGGGGAGCTGGGACATGGCCGGCAGCAAGCAGCTATTACTCTATTGACAAGAATATCAAGACTAGAGAGGAAAGGAAGAGAGAGAGAGATAGGTACAGTGAGAGGTTGCCCCTTTAAGGGGATCCTCTGGTCAGATCCTTCCCCTATTAGGAAGTATCCACTTGTCATGTGGGAAGGTCTGTGCAGGCCGTCACAAATATAGCCTCAGGCTGTAGCAGACTGGGCCACACAGCAGAGGTCTTTGACAGTGAGGCCAAAGGGGCCAGGCACGCACTCAGGCGGGCCCTGAGGCTTAGCAGTGGTGCTCCCATCCATGTGTGCCTAGACAATACAGCAGTGATCTCCGGACTGCGGAGGGAACCAGCTCCGAGCTCCCAAGAAGCTTTCCTCTAATTTCACAAAATTTCGGACACGTACGCCAATGTACAGGTCTGGTGAGTGCAAGGGCATATGGACATCCAAGGCAACGAAGAGGCCGACATAAAGACAGAAAAAGGTACTACCTTGCTAATCCCTACCAAGGGCCAAACCTATGCTTAAAGGCGTCCTAGGCCTTCTCAACAAAAATATTCAAAAAGAACACCAATAATAGTGGGACAAGAACATCACTAATAAATACAAAAGTCTCAGCCTTCAGAAAGCTATACTCAAATGCCTAGAAGAGCTGAAGCTTGACAAGCCAATGCTCCACGGGCTTATTGCATCCAGAACTGGCCACAGAGACTTTAGCTGGTACCATAGGAGGTTCAAGCACAAAGAACACTATAACTGCTCCTATAGGAGAATCAAAACGCGAGCCCACTTTGCCTTTTATAACAGAGCCCTTATAAAACAGTCAAGGTGGCCACAAAGGAACCGCGGTCACAACGGAGAACCCAAACCAGAAGGGAGGGCCTATTGGAAATGGCTGGTAACGCACCTAAAGGAATTCGGAGATTTCTGCAAGTGGACAAAATTCTATACGAAAGTCTGTCCCAGAGTCACGGGACATCAGTTCATTGACAACCAGGCTTAATTACGCCAGACACTATATCTTTTTATTTCTTTTATTATTTTTATTATTTTTCTTTATGTTTTTATTCTTTTCTAGCATACGGCCTTTTAAACACAAGGTATTACCATATTAAAGCGAGAGGAGCTTATCGATGCTAATCAGACCACCAACTACGAGCTAGATATCACAGAGCACGAGCCCAAATGGCGGGGCCAACGGAAACTGACGGAATAACATGTGTGCCCTCGAGGTTCAATTTACAGGTTATCTTGGGAAATAAGGAGTCATGCCCCTTTTCCCTTACAGTAAGGCTTGTGTGTTAGCCCTTGAGATAGTCACCTGCACGCCAAATGTCCACAAGGATCTGGAGCCTAGAGCCCCTACAGCGTTAAACTAAACTAAACTAAACTAAACTAAACATCGTGGTGACTGTTGTAGAGACAGGCACGATGCTCTGCCTTGGTCGGTGTAGCCCTGCTTGACCGGACTGGGGCCACCACTCACACCAGCTAATCTCTTACATGACTGTACTCAACCGTGGCGTCTTCGCACTTAACCTTTCGTGGGGCTTCAAAGCATGTCTCACTGTCGCGGGGTCTCGACGGAAGAGGTCTAGCTGGGTTAGTTGAATGCACTCACTACATGACCACCGAGTCCGGAATCGGTTCTTTGTCATTTGCAAGAGAACAATCCTATGCTTGTTTTCGGGTAGCCATATAGTCGCCGTACGCGAACAAAAACATGATAGAGCTCGCGGTGCAAGTCACTATCGTCTGGCAAGCCACGTGCAGAGATGAATGGACGGCCGATTGAGAAAGTAAGCCGAAGCTTCGTAGTAAGCCCCCAAAGTTAATCGAAAGGCAGGTCTACAGCTCTCATACGGTTGTAGTATACGAAGAACGTGAATGAATATAGTTAGGGCGCTTGACCTCCATGTGTTGAAGATATATGAACTTTTCAGATTGAGGCTTCGTGGCCCTCTAGATACTTACTGGAAAGGGTGTGAAGTCAATGCCAGCAGGGTGTATCGGGAAAGATTGCTCGTTGATTCTCGATAATAGATATAATTTTGAAACACTTTGATTGGTGATGAAGACGTCGCATGAGGTAAGTTACATGGTGCAACTGTACGACCCTGAGGTTGGTATTTACAGCATCGAAGGCACCAGCTGCTAACCGCACATGCGGCATGCGAAAATAGAGCATCGCCATGCCCAAATCATCCTGCGCACATCCCTCTCTCTAGTCAACTCGGATGCTTCCATGCTGCGAGGTCGATAGCTTTGTCGTGAGATCTTTGTCAATTGTCCAGCTCTTTGTTCGCGCCGTTTCCGGCCACCGCGCTCTTAGGGTTTCGTTCAGCCCACAGAACCACTACAGCGAAGATATACGCGCCATTCTGCAGATGTCCGACTTCAGAATCTGGTTCAATCACTCATAATACAGCTTTTCACGTTCGAGCAAGGCTATCGACTTGCCCACCCCGGATCGACGACAGGCTCACGGCACGTATCCCAATAAGTACCTGGTCAGTGGTCACACTCGAAGTCACCATGCCACCCAAGAAGCCAGCCAAGCCCGTTTGGCCCGTTTGGGGCCGAAATAGTATACTAGATAATGGCTTGATTCATCCACAGCCAACAATTAAAACCGATATGGACCCAACTGTAGGACTAACTGTTCCCGAGAACGTGGCGGCCAAAGAAGAACTGGTACCTGTGTCCGAGGCCAAAGACAATTTGCTAGCCCTCAATCGCCTACAGATAAACAGGGACCATCGGCTCACGCCACTCGAAGTCAAGCAACCTCTGCTAAACCTACACAGTTGCCTTCACCCGGATTTACAAAAGCGTATCTACCTTGGTGGCTTCCTTGGTTTGCAAGATGACCTGTTCCAACTCAAGGACACATTCTATGGCAAAGAGGTCAGAAAGGTCTTTCAAGGACCACGGGCCAACGGGTCGCAAAAAACAGTCTTCTTCAGAGAGCTTGAAAAGGCCGAGTACCTGCTTTGGGCTGTCCAGGTGCGCGAGGGGGACTGGGTGGCTATCATAGCGCACCTCGCCAAGGGACCGATCCCAAATCCGGCAGCAAACCCAGATGACGCGAGCATACCAGACACTATTATGTCAGCGAAGAACAACTTCCTGGATGAATGGACGGTGGTAACCGGAAGACGAAACCCAAACATTGACGTTCTGGTGGCCAGAGCTAAGCAACGCTTCCAACAAATAATGAAGATTGGGAAATTCATGTTCCCCGCTCGTTCGGAGAAACGCATCTGGGTGCCATTGGATGAGGACAACTTCAGCTCGGGAATCAGGGTCTACGCGCTCTTCAAGGAGCTGATGCGCCGCATCACAGACTTCTACTGCGAGCAGAGGACGCACAAGGAGAAGAAGAGCTTCTGGAAGCCCACCTCGGGATGGCTGAACGTGGACGAGGTCAGGGCTGAGATGCAGGTAGGAGACAGACCGCGACTTGTTTATGCAACCTTTCCATTGACGCCCCCCTCCAACTTTTCCGATTTCGCCGTCCAAGGAGCTTGACTGACCGAGCTGTATAATAGGGGAGGGCTGCCCAAGGCTGTATAGCCGACATGAACTACCGAAGTCGGCTTGCCGTCCAGGGTGTGTTCCAACACCTTCAAGTTGACGGCAGAGGGACAAAATACCAATCCATACTGCTGAGGCCTGTACTCGAGGACAACAAGGCCTATATCCCGGGTTTAGACGATCCTGATGAGGGTTGCATCGAGAGCAACGATAACACCCCGGACCCGTACAACCCCGGCCCGGCAGACGAGCCCGACCTTCCCCCGTCCCCGGCATTAACAGAAAACCTGGACCTTGCGGAATATCAAGAGAAGGAAAGAGTCAGAGTGGAGAAGCAGCGCCAGGTAGAAGAATTGCGCAAGGCACATAAAGCGCGAGAGAACTGTGAGGCCAGGTGTAAGGACGAAAAACCCAAGAAGGAGCAGGCCCTCAAAAAGATCGAGGACGAGAAATGCAAGACTGCCGAGATGGCGAAGCAACTCAAAGAGGCGAAGGATGCCTTGAAACTCGCTCCCGCCGGTGCTCGCCTTGCGTCTACCGTAGGAGTCGAGACCACGACTACAACCACCATGAAGCCTGGGGACTTCCCGAGGCCCGACCCTGCCCCGACAACCTCAAAGCCTACGAGCACCTCAAAGCCTACGAGCACCTCAAAGCCTACGAGCACCTCAAAGCCTACGAGCACCTCAAAGCCTACGAGCACCTCAAAGCCGACGAGCACCTCAACGCCTACGAGCACCACAAAGCCACTGACGTCTAACCCATTTGCAGGAGTCGGTGCCGGTGGAAAGGGAAAAGGCAAGGGTTTATTCGATATTCTCAAGACCACCACAGGATACGAAGATCCCCGAATTAATCCACTTACAAAGAAGAATCGGTTCACGAAACCCCCTGGGGGCTCCAAGAGTTCTTCCCTGTTTCCACCCGGTTGGGGCTCTACCAAGCCCCCTCAGGGCTCTGGCAAGCCCGCTGCGGACTCTGGAAAGCCTCCTCCGGGCTCTGGAAAACACCCTGCGGGCTCTGGCAACCCCCCTACGAACTCTATCAAAGCTTCCGTGTTTCACTTTCAAGGGGATGGGGGTAGTTTCAAATTTACGATAGAGAATCGTACGGATCATGCCGGGTTGGCAGAGTCGTTAGGAATAGCCAAAGGGTCTACTATATTAAGACTTCTTTCGGATGATGCCATGGTTGCTGAGAAGACGGGGGGGACAAAAGGGTCTACTACGGCAAAGCTTTTCTACGGTGTCAGGTTGGCAGGTTTGTTGGAGATGATCAAAGGGTCTACGCCGCCGCCAAAGATTGTTTCGGATGATGCCGGGGTGGCGAAGTTTTTGGGGAGAACCACAGAGTCTACTGGTCCCAAGGCGGCTACGGTCGAAAGTGTTCCGGATAGTCCGACTGAAGCGGTTGTTACAGGCGACGGCAAGGAGGGCGAGGTGATGGATCTAGGTGACGAGAAGAGCGAAGAGATGTGGATAAGTGACGACAAGGAGAGCGAAGAGATGAATCTAAGTGACGTCGACATGGGGTCTACTGGCACCTCTACCCTCCCAACCACCATGACTGCGGACATTCCCACCGGGCTGAGCACGCTGGGAACCGGTATCAGTTTCGAACAGGCACTTAAGAATGATGAGGAGAAAGCAAAGCTACTGAAGACAACGGGCGGGAAGAACACGAATGGGAAGACCCCGAAGGGGACGTACACGACCGGGAAGAGCACGGCGGGAAAGCACGCGCTGGAGGAGGAGGAGGAGAAGGCCGAGTCAATGATGACATGGAAGAAGACGAAGACGGATAGCAATCCGTTATTCAAATGACCAGGCAACGTCATATCGTCCCAGGAGATTAAAGACAAACTGAAGAAGGGGGTGGCAGCTTCAGCCGCAGAGTTTATCAAGAAGAATGGGAAGCCGGTGTATGACAAGAAATAAGCCTCGCCACGCAGTTGGAGAGGGCTGGCTTGCGGCATGGGCTGGAAGGTTGCGTGCGTAACTTGAACTTCGACGGGACGCTTGTTTGGGTATGAGGGTAGTAGACGGACGCCGGGGTTGGAGCTGGTGAGAGCGGAGGGGTATGGATGGGTGGTGGTGGCAGATCTCTCTTTCATTTGTCGTGCGTTTGGATCAGTAACTTATACAGAAGCTTGAGCAAAGCTATCTCCTTTGTCACCATACCGTTTCCGCAACACCAATCAGTGTCTCCGACTTACTTGTTCGGAGTGTTTGTGTGAAACCCCTCTTGTACGAAACTGCCCCAACTTGTGACAGCCCATTCATCAGACCAACAAGATCTTATCCTTTGTCACAAAGACCGTTGCCATTCCGATCGTCCCGCATGTTGGCACCCATGCACTGTCTCTTAACTACCTACATTCACAAAGGCTGTCAGGGTGCGGATACTGCTTGTTACGGTTGATTTCAGAGACAGGAATCTGCCCCGAAGAGTCGTCTTCGAGCAAAAACTAGCTACTCAAGATGACCTCACCCTTAAACCTTGACACGAACAGCCCAGCTGCGACCCAGAATAGTCCACCTCGCCCACAGGAAGCAGAACCCGCCCAGTCCCAGGACGGCGATGTAAAGGCGGGCAATGCCTTCGTGCCAACAGACTGCAACATCTGCCCGCCAAGGGGAATGGTGATAAACAAGGAGAAGCTGACCACGAAGTACATGGTGCCGAAATAGCGGCCGAAGTTTTTCGTGTCGCACGTTTTCCCCGCGCAGACTGTCAAATCCGTTAGCCGCTCCATTATGGATGATCAAGGGTAAGCAGAAACATATATAATAAGGGAGAGGACATACCAGGCGTCAACGAGAGGAAAGACCCGGTCCCAAAGCCCCACAGCGCGGCGAACACGTAGAAAGCCACCAGGTACGTGCCGCCGAAGGGCAGCCACACGACCAGCATGCTGAGCAGCGTGAAGACGAGCATGACGATCAGGACGTTGAAGGGTCCAAAGTAGTCCCCGGCAAGGCCCGGCAGCGTGCGTCCAAAACACGAGGCCGCGTTGAGAATCGATATCACGTAGAAGCTTGCCGACGGCGGGAAGCCGGCGATCGCGGCGTATGTGGGCAGGAGGCCGGTGGCGCCGAAGATGACAAACTCCATGGCGAAGAGCGACACGGTGATGAGGGTGAAGGGCCCGGAGCGGAAGGCAGAGAAGTCGATGACCTTGGTCTTTTCCTTCTTGTCCCTCGCCGGGTCAGGCGCAGCACGGGAAACAGCCGCGAGGCGCGGGTTTGGCCTGATACACAGGTTCCCCACGATCAGGAGGGCGAGCTCGATAAAACCGACGATTCGGATGGACCACGTCCAACCGAGCCTCTCGAAGATGGATTGTAGCTGAATGGATACCACCGTGCCGCCGACAGACGAACCTGACAGCACGATGCCCATGGCCAGTCCCCGCCTCCGCAGGAACCAATTACTAATAACGCTCATGGCGACATTAGACACGATAGCAGCACCGATACCGCCCAGCAGGCCAAGACACAGCATGAACTGCCAGTACGTCGTGCACTCAGCCAGGAGGAAGAAGTGCGCGGCGTACAGGGCCGCGCCGACAATGCCGAGGGCCGTGGGCCCCCGACGGTCGAACAGCGGCCCGATCCAGATGCCCAACAGCAGCGCGAGCGCGGTGAAGACGGACGGGATCCAGCCGACGTCGCGGTTCGTATAGGCGGAGAGCTGGTGCGTCTCGAGGTACGTCTGCACGGTGCCGATGGATTGCATCCAGCCGTAGGTCGGGAATAGGAAGCAGAATGAGCCGAGGACGACTAGCCAGGCCCGTAGGCCGCCGTCCGGGTGGATGGCATCGTGGAGTTCGGGACCTGATGGGGGTGCGCCGGCAGTCGGTTGCTCCTCAACTGAGTGATGAGATGGTGTCTTTGTTGTCCTGAGGTGTTCGGCGTCGTGGCTCCTTGACCTTGATTGTTTGGAGGTGATCGTTGTCAGGGCAAGATCGGGCGATGCTGCGGTTATTGGTTCCATTCCAGCTGTCTATACCGCTGGTGGTCTATATAGCTCGACACCTCTTACATTAGGGCTCTTCTGAGACGCATTAGTCAAGCGTGTTGACGAGAAAGAGAAAGATGCCAAAGACCCGGGTCAGAAGATGCCAAAGACTCGGGTCAGAAGATGAGTATACCTTAGTAAGTAAACCAGCAGTAACCAAACGACTTATACCCGATGATGTATACCCCAGAAAGAGAGACAAAGGACGGACCATGGTAGACATCATGGTCACGACTGGTGAAAGTAAACGAGCACACTTCCTGAATAGGACCAACGACTGAGTGAAATATGTGTTGCTCATTGGTGGACAGGGCCGCCCATAACCGAAGAGAACCTTGCCTGGGATGCCATGGTGTGGGACGACCCATCGACGCCCTGTTGTCAACAAAGAGATCCGCATCTCTACGTCCGTCTCCGGAGCAAGCAACCTAGTTTCGGTTCCATCTCTAGATTCTATGCGCTGTTTGTGTGAAGACTGTAAGCTTTCGGGGCCTCGTACTAGCACGTGCTCATTCATGTATGACCTCTGCCCGACTAGGTATTCGCTATAGCGGGGGTGGCAGGCATACTCTCCGCGTGATTCAGTCGGCATCGATGAAGGATATATATGGGCGTTTCCCTTTTACGGAATAAAGGCGGGAGAGGGAGAGGAGACACTCCGGATCATGCGCATGCAGACCGATGCGTTACCGATGCAACGCCGGTGGTTCAACATGGCGACGAAGCGCGCCGAAGCATGCCGTATTATCTACGGGGGGCACCTGCTGTCTCAGCCCGAGTCCCCCTGCTTAGCGCGGGTGGCTTGCGTGCAGATTAGGTAGACGTCGAATCCAGCCTCACCAGCAGGTCGCACCGGTGGCTTTATAGCAGATTGTTTGATAAGGCAAACGCGGCTGGGCAAACGTGCCGACTACATGTCTCAGTCACAGCTTTTTTAGAGTGTGCTGGACAGTGACCTTGGCCCACATGCATTCCAACATGAGCACCAGGAGGCAGGCTCCAGCAGTCCCTCGACGGAGGCAAAGGGGCTCCTTGCCGCAATACTGCCTTACTGCCTTGCTGCCTCATTTGACATTCATCGGTCGTAGATGTTTGGGGCAACACGGGGCAGATGGGGATCAGCTTATCATATCACCGTGAGATTCCAAATGCATGCTTCTCTCTTCTCCCTTATCATCCATTCTGCGTGTCAAGACTCACCAAGCAGCACCAGCGTCAGCACAGCAGCTGGTGAACGGCGACAGTGAGCTGAAGTGACTGCTCCTCTCAGTCCTCCACCATGGTGGGGTACCGATACGAACCTCTTCCAGGCAAGGACTTCATCAGACTCGTCACCATTCACCCTGGAGAATTCGCAGACGACATCGTCATCAGTCTGGAAGTCACAGCATTCCCCCTGGACAACCCACCTGTATATGAAGCCCTATCATACGTCTGGGGTTTACCGTCGGACCCTGGCCTCGTCCACGTCACATGCTCCAGAGCCCAGCAGCGCACTACAATACTCGCCACGCAGAACTTGGTGGTTGCACTTCGTCATTTGCGCTATGTCGACAAGCCAAGGGTGATGTGGATGGACGCACTGAGCATCAACCAAAAAGCCGATGTGGAAAAGAGCTCCCAGGTCGCAAAGATGGGCGAGGTCTTCCGGCTTGCTACCCGCGTCGTAGCCTGGCTTGGCCCCGAGGAAAACGACAGCGACCACGCTATAGGGCTGATGGAATATTTCGGCAGCCAGATTGACGTTGATTGGGGTTCGTGGAAAATAAGCCCCTCAAGTATGTCCATTGACCCCCACCTGGCCGATAAAGACGACATACTGCGACTCAACAAAAGAGACGGGAAATCGATATACCACCTGATCTGCCGAAACTGGTACACCAGATTATGGGTTCGACGAGATATATCTGGCCAAGTCTGAAGCGATTGTTTTCGCTGGATTTCGGCGTATTACCTGGAATACCCTTCGAAGAGCCCTGCATCTTCTGCACATGAAATGTATTAGCCTCATCGGCGTACCCAATGACTTCGGTCAGAAATTGATATCCTTGGAAGGGTTCATCTACCAACGACTTGACATGTCAGTACGTGACTTCATGTACGTATTTGGCAATTCCCGATGTCATGACCCCAGAGACCGCATCTACGGAGCATTGTCTTTGCTGGATAAGGAAAACAGGGCAATAATCCCCGAACCTGACTATACCAAGCACTGGGCCCAGATCTACCAAGATATTGCGACAAGATATATGCGGCGCACCACCCGGCTCGACCTCCTCTTGGATTGCGAGTCCCTTGCAGGTCAGACTTGCGCCAGTTGGGTTCTTGACTGGTCGAGAGATTCCACTGGGAATGGCCAGGTTGCTCGTTCGTATGCCTCGGCCCAGCTATGCACTATCAGTCTCAAACCCGAATCTGGAGTGTTAAAAGTGGTTGGAGTTAGCAAAACGATCATCGAACATATTGAACCAATACCGGATTTTCAGTACTGGGGTTCTAGGGAAGTTTGCGGGTCCCTTATTGCGCTGCTCCAGAACCTCGATCTGCAGGGCAAGTACGTCACTGGCATCGACCTGCTTGAAGCGTACACCAGAATACTGCTCTGCGGTAGGATTGCAGGGCGATATATACCGCAGAATCAGACACTGCTGCTCCCATAGCGTTACGGCCCTGTGGCGGCGGGAGGTTCCTTGTCGTCGGCGGATGCTTTGTAGAGGGAATATCGCAAGGGGAGGCTTTGCTTGGGACGCTTCCACACGGTGTTCGAACGGTCAGTATCTACGTAGAGGCGTATGGTCGGTATTATCCGGGTCTCGTGGATAGCTCATCGGGAAAGACATTCTTCGAGGATCCGCGACTGGCATCGCTGCCACTGGATCTAGGAGACTTCCGCATACGTCTATCAAAAGACCCAAGAGCAACTATGGTCATCGATCCGGACGTCCTACAGGCTCGCGGTGTCGACATCAAAACGTTCTCGCTCGTTCAGACATGAGCACCCTCGACTTCGGTGTCCCAGCAGAGTTTGAGGCGCCAGGTGTCAAACGAGTGATTTCCTTCTATTTGAGTCAGTCAAACTTTGCTTTCATCTTCCTCTGTCTGGGCGGAAGTTACTCTCGGGCTCAATGGGATCACCTTGCCTACCAACACGATGTGAGGCCAATTGATATGAACGAGTGAAGACGAAGCACCTCCCGCATGCAGCCCCACAAGCTCCGGGACACTCCTTCAACGGAGACTTCCAGTATACCAACACCAGAAAGCGTATTCCCATTCGAGACCTTCGTGTCTTCATCCGCAGTTCTAAGCATGCTATAAGTCTGTTATGCGAACGAGCGTGTACTAGTCTAAACGACACACGGGACGTCAGTATATATCTTACCCACGCAAGAGCATACATGTGCAAAGACAGTCGACGCTCACTTCCTGCTCCGAAGCCTCGACCTCGCATAAGAAGTATCCAACTCGGAAGAAGAAACCGCAAAGACCGGCGCGACCCCCTTCACCAGTCCCGCATCAACAGCGCTCTTATAAGCGCCCCTGAACACAACACGGCTCTTCCCAGCCATCACGCCGCCGACGCCCTTACTATCGGCCGCAACAGCCATGAGTGGCGTAAACGTCCTAGGCCGCAACTTCGATGCGTCGCTACCCCGAACCCCGTGGCGAACAGTGCCGCGGGCGAGTACACCTGGTAAGAATCCGCCGTGGGCGGATACGTCTTGCCGGCGATGAAGGAGGCGGGTGTGCGCCTGGGGAAGATGTAACCGCTTGCTTGTTTGATGGCGGCGGCCCCAAGAGCCTCGGACAGGAGGGCGACGTGCGTCGCTCGTATGGGTGGCTTGTAGGTTGTGGTGGAATTCCTGGGGGTGGAAACGGGTAAGGAGTGGATTGGCGACTGCGGGTGGGGAAAGGGGCAATGTTCGTTCAGGGGCTTGCTTACATCCTCGAAGCCGGCGTCGCAGAAGGTATTCTCTGTGTAATTCGCCAGACCTTCTAAGTTAAATTCCGTTCGAAACCGCGTCAGTTGACCGTGACAACATGCACCAGACTTCTTATCACAAGACAAATAGCGTCACCTAGTCGAGGGAGGGAGCTGTGATCAAGTCATTGAGCACGGTTAGCAACCCACCGTGAAGAGACCTGGTTCTGCTTCATCTGGGGCTCTCAAGCTGCTTAAAGGTAGTTACTTGCGACCACAAGGAAGCCTTCTCCACGTCTAAACTCACCCCGCTTTCACGGTCCTGTACGCCCTCATTATGAATTTCCTTGCTATTGAGATCACACCTCACACCAATGGCGGATCATCCCAGGCGAGCTTTCGGAACGAGGAATGTGATGGCGGTAGTCTGCGGATACAGAGCGATCCGAGGTCGACCGAACTTCGGGATATGGGACCCAACAGGCAGACTGCATATCTTCCCCAGATCGCCAATGCGAACAAGCTACAGTCAAACCGACTATCCATCTCGGCTAGAATGGCAAACCAGAGTGACTCGCGCCTTGCTGTCCGCGACTAAGCTGCCCCCACATTCAACATATGAGGTCCATGACGATCCTATCAAGGATACTTTGCGGCTTGTATATTCAAGTTCGCTATGAGTTGCCTGATACGCTCGCCCAGTTCGTAAATAGATGCAGGCTCCTTGCGTACGTCTTGTATGAAGAATATCGGGTGTATCTGGTGCGGTTGACCTGCTCGTACAAAGAGAGTCCGTAGGTATTAGGCTGAAGGAAACAGTCCGACCTCTTAAACTGCAAAAGGATAACCAGTTCAGCATATATCGTGTAGACAACACCACACGTTTCGAACTGATGCAATAGGTGTTGCTTTACACAACGAACTTAATGCGATGCAGCCTATCCTAACTCTTGGTAAAATACAGCGTTCCATCTCATCATCACCTGCCGTGACTCCATTGCATTCGTTCTATCGTTCCCAGTCCTTGGTTCTATAGGCGGACCGGGTGGCAAGTATGTCGGGTATAGGAAATGAGGTGATTTATTTACAGGGTCTCCATCTTGTCCAAGATGGCGCGCGTGAATTCGTGCGTCGTCGAGTTGCCACCCATATCGCGTGTGCGAGCCTTACTATAATAGCCGTTAGTGTCACAGTTTAGAGAAACGAGAGACGGCAGGGTACTAACCCATCAGCAATGACAGAGTAGACAGCCTGGGAGATGCGGTTGGCGTGGTCATCCAGGCCAAGGTGGCGAAGCAGCATGGTACCAGAGAGGAGGAGCGCTGTAGGGTTGGCCTGATCCTTGCCCTTGATGTCAAGGCCGACGTGTCGGCAGCCAGGCTCGAACACGGCAACGTCACGACCCATGTTGCAGCCGGGAACCAGACCGGGGCCGCCGACCAGGGCAGCACCAATGTTGGACAGAATGCCGCCGTACAAGTTGGGCATGACCATGACATCGAATTGCTGGGGTCTCGAGACACATTGCATACTGGCGTTGTCCACGATCATGTCGTCAGTCTTCAGGGTGGGGTAGTCGGCGGCAGTGGCGTGGAAGGTGTTTCGGAAGAGGCCGTCAGCCAGCTTCATGATGTTCGCCTTGTGGATACAGGTAACCTTCTTACGGTTGTTGGCCAGCGCGAACGAGAAGGCAAACTTGGCAATGCGCTCCGACTTGGCGCGCGTGATGATCTTGAGAGACTCGACGACGCCCGGTACGCTCTGGTGCTCGAGGCCACTGTATTCACCCTCGGTGTTCTCTCGGATGATGCACAGGTCGACATTCTTGTGGCGGGTCTCGTAGCCGGGGATGTTCTTGATCAGGCAGATGGAGGCGTAAATGTCGAGCTCCTGTCGCATGGCGACGTTGAAGCTCTGGTGCCCTGATCTGCTGATGGGGGTGTGCAGAATACCCTTCAATCCGAGCTTGTTTCTCTTGAGAGACGCAACCGACTCCCGGAACATCTCCTCGGTGCTGCCAGGGACGCCACTGTCGACACCGGAGGCGTCGACCTGTTCCCAGTTAACGGGCACCAGGTCGGCCTTGAAGATAGTCTTGACGCTCTCGGCGACCTCGGCACCAATACCGTCACCGGGGATGAGGGTCACGGTGTACTTGCTGCCATACTTGGTAGGCTTGAACATGTCGGACTGGACGGTCGCAAAGGATCGGGAGGCATTCTGGAGGTGTGGTTGTTGGCGAGACGCTGCCCGCGCCAGGCGCTGTTCAGTGCGAAATTGGGTGAGCTCATGTTCTGTTCTGTCCCTTCTGTCCCTCTATAAGGTACAGCAAGTGGGAGCCATTGGTCCGGCCGGGAGCAGGGAGCAGGGAGCAGTGGCCACGTACCTGAGCAGCTCTGGCAGAGTTCCGCGACAGCATGGTTGCGACAGGAGTATTAGGGTATTACGTGAGAGGAGAGCTGGCCGGACGATGAAGCTGGCGTCTGTCTAGAGGCGCTGAGGCGGTGATGCGAGGGAAGGCTGGCTGCAACTGGAAACGGAAATGGCGCAAGACATAAAAATGCGAAGACTTTCCGGTGCTTGCAGATAAACGCTGGCAGCTGGCTCCTCCCGAGGTCGTGTTGTGGCAGCCGCACCCGTGCCATTCCGATTCCGATCTAAGCCCGCTAGGTAAGGTACCTCCACTCGTCCACAGGCCCGGCAGTATCGGCGCTAGTTCTGTTGCATGACACGCCACAGCAGGCAAGCCACCTATCAGCCACTCCCCCACTCGAGATCCATTCATCAACCACTTGGAAGCTGCCAAGCCTGGAATTCTTGTGCTTGCCCCTATGTCACCAGCCACATACACCAAATGGCATGCGTTATGGAAAGGGGATGTTTTCGATCCCCTTTCACGACGGGATTCTTACGGGACTCCAGTATTGGGACATGTTCTCCATGCATGGGGTACATGTTTTCAAGAGGGAGGTACGTCCGGGAGGCACTTGCTTCCACTTCTGCAAGCTGAAATGAGAAGGAACGATCCAAACATGGCAAGCACATCAGGATGTTCGTCCATTCTCGAGGAAGGCGCTTTGCTAGAAGCATGGCAAACCGGAAAGATGGAACACCGCTGCATCTGTCCATTCTAAAGGTGGGAAGGAGGGAGCATTTTGTCTTTTCCCCAACAATAACGTTATGTGCCGCGTTCACCTCATTCACCTCATCTACCTCATCTGCCTCATATACCTCATCTGCCTCATCTACCTCATGTCGGCATCTGCAACACCTGCACGACAATTCGGCGCTTGCTAGGCATGTCAGCTGGGAGCTGGATCGGGGGGATGCCATCAGCTGGTGGTGGTCTCGGACCAGCATCAGTTAAACATATGCTCGCAGAGCGGAGCCAACGCCAACGACAGGACCAACATCATGGGTATCAGATTCAATGCCATCACCACTACCACTACCACTACGTAATACCTCTTCCGGGATCGTCTCAAGCACCCCCTCAGGAATCTCCACAAGGACATCCTCAGGAATCTCTTCGGAAACCTCCACAGGAACCTCCACAGGGGCCTCCTCAGGAACCCCCTCAAGAAGCATCTCAGAACCAACCTCAGCCGCTTCCCCAGATACCCCCTCATGGTTCTTCTCAGGGTTCACATCAGGAACGGTCAAGAGGAACACGTCAGGGACGGTCACGAGGAACACGTCCGGAACGGTCGCGAGGAACACCTCAGAGCCCACGCCAGGGGCCTCCTCAGGCAGGGTGGGTTTACTATTCACCCCCTCAAGAACCACACAGTGAACCACCGTTGGCCGAATCACCGCCGCCCAAGGATTTCAATGAAATCCTTGACGATATGACGGCATCCCTCCAGATAGAGGCCTCGGCAGCTCTCGCCTCCCTAGGCGGGCCCGCGTGGCAGAACATCACCATCAAGTCGCTGGCACAGGAGGTCGCAGTTCGCATGGCGTCTAGTATATTCGGAGGGCATGAGCTCGCCGAGTCTGAACAGTGGCTGCAGCTTTTCAAAACTTATACAGACGATCTCTACACCGCCATGAATCTTCTCGAGAGATTCCCTCGCCCGCTTCGGAAACACATCTACCGATGCTTCATGCACTCGTTTGTAGTGAATCGAGAGCACCTGCGCCTGGTGAGAAGCCTGTCCTCTGGAGCCAGGTGCGACCGGTATCTCTGCAAGAAAGAATCGGTCGCGTCTGGGCAGGGTGTGCCTGAGTTCATCGACGCCACAGCTTACATCGTCGAATGTCCTAAGACGTCGGGGCACAGTGTTGCCAACATTCAGGCGACGTGTATGGTCACGGTAATCCACATAATGGAGGTTCTCCTTGATCACGTCTTGCTCAATCTCGCAAGGAACCCGATTTATATCCAGCCTATCCGAAACCAGATTGTCGATGCGCTTGAAGATGCTGGCTGGCAGCCCGAATCTCTTGACATGATGGACCTACTCGACAAGCAGATCCAGGATGCTCAGGATGATATTGCTGGCAAGGGTCGCGGTCTGGTGGCCAAGGTGTGGAGCACAGTCTTGCCGAAGAAGAGCATGGAAGAGCTGCTTCGAACTCATGGAGGACACTTTGGCTTCGGTAATGCTAAGTACGCTGAGCTAGGCAAACGATGTGTCCAACGTTCGTGCTTGAAGATCGCTCTCTGTCATTTGCTGATGAAATACGATTGGGAAGCGGTGGATCCAGCCCTTGAAGAGGAAACTGTTCAAGAGAAGAGCACAGCCCCGGAGTTAACTCCTCTCGCCAAAGTCATGATTCGACTACGAGACTATGTTGAGCTTGATATTGATACTGTCTGACGGTCCAGCGAGGAGTGTGCCTGCTCATCGAAACGTTAGCATACATAGTCCGAATGTCATCACCGTTCTCGATAACCGAAAGCGCAAGAGGGAAGCCACGACGACTGTGGGTGATTGAGCACAGGTAGTGTTATGGTCACGAGTCGTGTCGTCCTTCAACAAAGTGCAGACTGTGGGGTCCTTTGCCACGAACAACTTATCAATATCAAACGCCAAACCCCCGCGATTATTTATGCTTCTTCAGGCCTCGTCTCTTCCTATCGTGCTGCCCCAGACCCTTTGCTGCCATACCTACGACGCCCGATAACATGGTGAACTCGTATCCTTGTCTAACGAGGCCTTGCAAGACCATACTCCCGATGCTCTGCTGCCCGCTTCTGATGGAGTAGCTTCAGCAGCTCCCTGGCTTGTTTGGGGTGGGACGAGGCATGACCTAGACGTTTGCTGTGCCATGGCACGTGTGTGTGCCCTTCCCCTGGGTTGGTTGATTGGGTGATTGGTTGCAGTCTTTAGCGTCTAGCGAGTGGCCACAGGGGCGATAGGATGTGGTTTCTGAAGCCAATTCATGCCTCCTTAATGTCAGGGCGTGCAATATCGTGACTACGCGTTCACTCCTTTCAGAACGTCGTGTCTGGTGTTCGGGCTCCGGAGAGCTGACACGAAGCTTTCAACCTCCCATCCGCGAATAGGTCATCGTCTCAACGCGTTCGACCGTATCACGAGCTCCTCCCACCGCCACGGCAGCACACCGCCGCGCCGACGGTTCACCGGCGATTTAAACGGTCGCGTGCGTATCGTCAGCCCCGTGTGTTCGGCGTCGGGACTCTCTCGTATCGTGGTTCGGGGCCGTCGACGTCGATTCGTCGCTAAAGAGCGACGCGCGTCGTGATCCTCGTCGTCAGGTCCTGCGGCGACGAGCGACGACGAGCGGCGACGAGCGGCGACGAGCGGCGACGAGCGGCGACGAGCGGCAACGACTCTCCCCCCTAAGGTCAAGAGCCGGCGCCGTCACTGAGCTGTTGTCGACTGTCCTCAAGCCGGATCTCCCGTGTTCTCCGTCTACAGCCAAAAACAGCTGCTGTTAGTGCACGAAAATTTCCACACACCCATTGGATGCGTTATTGTAAGGCACTGGAGGGGCTGTTTCCCGAGACTTGGGAGAATGAACTCGCACACCGGGGCCCTCAAACTTGGCGACTTCTCGCCTTGTATTTCCTTGCGAATAATGGCTCCACGGAAGTTGGTAGCGCGGCATAATTTGTCCAAGGATCTTACTCGTTCTTTGGTCGTGTTGTATTCAAGGGCGCTTCCTCGTCGTTTGGTCATGTTTCAATCTCCGTGCTCTGAAGAAGTTCATTGCCGTGTCTCTCGTTCCTTTTCATCGTCGATTTCGGAGATAGTAACGTCGTTGCGAAATGAGTCCCCTCTCTGGACGCAGGGTGATTCATCACTGTCGGCGGTCGTGCCACTGTCGGGAACGCGTGATGACACAGGCGTCTCCCTCGGTCAGGGGCTTCGTGGTGGATTGGGGGCGGCCCGGACTGCGGTGTACCTGTCGAAAGTATGAATGATTAGCTTATGGTTGCATGGTCATCGCCTTTCTGCTTTCCTTAACCACGTATAGAGTTTTGCGGCCCTTCGAGAGTACTTCGTCTCCATCGTCGTTGCCTCTGTCCTTGCCGAGAAGACGCCTGCCTCGACATCTGGCGCGACCCTCGCCCATCTCGTCCTCAACAATCTGGAATTTCCTACTTTCGGCAAGCTTTGGAGGCTTTGTGGGTATCAGAAACTGAAAGGTGGGTTTCGATTATTCCGGCTGTCCAGATTAGAAAGAAACACATGTTCTGCGTAGGTAGGCAGTCAGTGGATTGGCAGCCAACAAACAGCAAGGGGGAACTTAAGCGAACCCAGGTGGTTCTGCCTCGTTCCCTGCCACCGTCTGCGGGTGCCTGGCAAGACGTGGAGTCTTCCATCAAAGTGTGGGAATACATGTCGACGAGTGACGGCAGCTGAAACAAGAGCAGTCTACGGATCAACGCCGAAAGGGCTTCTCGCCCTGACAACTCATCGCCGACTCACAAAACCAAAAATCTCTGTGAGTCTTACGTTCGACTCTGGCTGGTGCTCCATGGCAGGTGCAGATGGGAGGAGAAGCTTACACTGAAAGGGCAAGTAAAAATCAAAGACAAGGCTAGAGTATACGGAGAAACATTTTAATAGGAGTATACACCGATCTACAAGACGAACGACCAAGATGAAGCCAACCTATCTTTCCACCCATCTACACCAAAAGTCTATAGCAAAAAAATTGTTTGGAGGGGGAGGGATTCGAACCCACGCTTCCGACGGATCTCCTATCATTAGCGAGTCACCCTCCCCTAAAGGAGAATGGGTCGCCTCAAGGCTGCAGTCATCAGCCCAAACCAGTCCCAGACAGTCCCATAAGCATCCCCCCGGATAGGCCAAGCAGGCCGGGACTATGTGTCTGAGACTAGCTCGAACTTCTCACACTTCATCTAACGTCGGCGTGCACACCACTACACTACCCGTCCATGGGGAATTCTGTTTCTATTTGCATACTTATCATCTGGACCGGCTGGCGTTCGTTTCTGCGGCTCCTGTGCCCGGAGGGAGGCCGGTCCGTGGTGGAGCTTGTTTGGGGTACACGTGATCAAGAACAGAATACAATGGTTGCTTCTTTCTACATGGTACCTGTACCTGTGATATGTTGCAACGAGTTTCTCACCATATGGTACCCATAATAAATGATTTCATCCTTTTCAAGAATCTTAAGATGCATTAGCATAAGCTTGAAGCCCGTCATTGCGAAAGGGAGTGTTGATTCTTTTGCAGCTCTCGAGTCTTGATTTTCGCACTGCCACAGACCCTGGCGATGATGTTATTATCGCGCAGAAGTACATCAATGGCGAAGCGATCTTTCCGCACGTGTCTGCCATATGGAAACTATATTCACGACGCGTGAAACGGAAATCCATATGCCGTATAAGTGCCGTGCTCACCAATAATGATGTTGACAAACTGTCTCAGGACAAGAGTCGTTTCCTGCAGCTCATCGAATCCCCCATCCTGCGTGGCTGTAGTCCGTCCACCATAACTTAATATCTCGTTTGCATTCCTCTCATAGACCAGTATGACGCCGTAACATCATTTTGAGCTGCATTTGTCGCAAACACGGTTTATCGATTCACTTACCACCACGCCCAACCCCGAAGATGCATGCGCCTCCTATAAAGCAGCTTAATAACTAGAGTGGTAGAGTCGATGTTGAGACTCCTCGCCATTCACCCAAATTGACTGCTGCAAAGAGAATGCGCCGACTGCCAGTCCAATTATATCGACGACATATCATATCGACGACGATAATTTGCCGGCGCTTGTAGTTGTCTGGTGAGCGGGCAACTGACCAGACGGATAAGCGCCAGTGATGTTGAAATTCCCCCCCTTTCTTGAGTGACTGATACGTTTTCGATATGATATGTCGTCGGTATGATACGTCGTCGATATGATACAAGCTGTGATAAATGCATTTCCCAGTTGCTATCGTTTCGATGCTGCAGTTGGGTAGTACGTAATCAAGCCAACTTGCATTCAGCCCTGACCAGCACCGCTTGAGTAGAGTTGACCCCGACGACAACTTGCTTCCACTATTCACCCACACCCGTGCCATCTCATCCCACGAATCTTGCACGTGAGCTCTATGCTTAGTAATGACGGCAAGACGTCGCAACCACTGTGGAAACGCGCAAGTATTAACATCCCCCCAAGTGGGCCGGTTAAACGGTTCCAGGGCATTAGGCTACCGGCAACTACCCCGACCCCGGCCGGCCTCTTGCGGCAAGCGGAGCCGAATCTTGCGCAAACGTGCTCAACCCCGTCACCTCGAAACAAATTGCATGGACACCCTCGAATTCACTCTCTGCTGGTTTGAGGGGGTTTCGTAATCATGGAAGGGCCACCTGCATGTTTGGTTGATTGATTGGTGTGACCGGGCAATAAGGGCCCCCGGGGCATGGGTCCGATCCAGACAAAGTTCGAACGCAACGGGGAAGAGAAGAAACCCTAATACCGGTCGTACATAAGAGGCTCTCTGCAGCCCACGGTCTCGGGAAGAAGCGAAAAGCCTTGTTTGGTTTGGATCGCTGATGTGAAGACTTGAACCGTAACGCGCTGAGTTACTAGCAACCTGTCACCACTCAACGACCCCTTCCACGATGGACATGACGGATATGCCCGCGGGCGGCGTCCCGTGGCTCGATCAGCCCGTGGAGATGCACTCGTCGCGGGAAACCACGTGCAGCATGACACCCGAGCAGTGTGCTTACAAGATGCGACACTGGGTGTTCTGGTGAGTCCTTCTAATCCTTTCCACGGAAGAGCTGTCGCGGTGACAACGGAGACCAAACGGGAAAATGACTGAGACGTTTTGCCTAAAGGTACGAGGCAGACCACGTCTACGCGCTCGGAACCGTCTACTTCTTCATCGCCACGATCGCGCTGTATTTTATCAGCTTCTGGACCCTTCGACTCGCGCCCCGGTGGCTGCAGAAGAATGCTGTCTGGCAGAAGACCGTTGGGGCTGTTCGGTATATGGTATATCGCCATTACGAATCGAGGCTGTTACGGTGGTATACGCCATCATTGGGGGTTATCGCTCTGATAGGGATTGGGGCGGTCTTCTTCCTTGGTGAGTGCCAATTCCGTCAACCTTGACATAGGAACGGTTGTTGCTGAAAAGGGGGCTTACTGTAAAAACAGCAATGACTCTTGGGCCGCAGCCGTACTACTGGCCCAACACCCCCGAGCTCAGCTACGGCAACTCGCCGCCTATCGCGACGAGGGCGGGCTGGATGGCGTTGGCTTGTCTGCCGTTCCTCATGTGAGTCTCCCGATATCCCACCGGCTGCCCGACAGCTTGACTTATCCAGTACGCAGCATCCTACCGACGAAAGCGAACATGATCGCGTTCCTGACTGGTGTCTCCCACGAACGGCTGATCATCTTCCACAACTGGGTTGGCTGGGCTATGTTCGCCCTGGCACTGGTCCACACATTCCCGTTCATCGTCTACCACGAGTGGAAAGGAGACATGGAGATGAGTTGGCGAACTGATGTCTACTATTGGACTGGTGTCATAGCCCTGGTCGCTCAGGCATACCTCCAGTTCATGTCCATTTCCTGGATCAGGTGAGTAGTGCCACGCCTTCGTAGGAGGGGATGAACGTGACTTACAAAGCCAACAGGAACCGGTTCTATGAGTTCTTCAAAGTCACCCACTACATTGCAGCTCTGGTGTTCGTGGTGTTCTTCTTCCTACACTGTGACTTCACACTGACCTCCTGGTTCGTCTACCATCCTTCCTAGCGCAGCGAGGACGAACAATGCTAATGAACCGTAGCGACTACTTCATTGCCGCTGGAGTCGTGTACGCCTTGCACTTCCTGTACCACCAGATTCGAACATACTTCGAGTATGGCATCAAGCATCGAGCCACTTTCAACATGGTGTCCGACCAGGCGTTGAAGATCACTATACTGACCAACGCGACGTGGTACCCAGGACAGCACGTCTTTCTGCGCTTCTTGACCTTGGGTGTCCATGCTTTCACCGCTCACCCCTTTACCATATGTAGCGTGCCGAGCCGAGACAGCGGGAAATCGAAGTTGGTCTGCTATGTCCAGCCGCGCGGCGGGACCACAGGCCGACTGGCATCAGCGGCTGCGAAGTGGCCAGGCCACAGCGTGCCGGTGCTTCTTGATGGACCTTATGGAGGTATCAGGGGACGGCCGCTTCACAGTTATGACCACACCGTCATCATCGCATGTGGTGCTGGGGCACCATTCGCACTCGGCCTGATCATGAATCGCCTTCTCGTTTTGGCCTATCAAGCGAGATCCTCGGCGGAGAAGCCGACAGCGAGGATGGAGGTGATCCTGTCGTCGCGAGATGCGCATATCGCCGAGTGGTACACAGATGCGTTGGCAGATTTCCTGCACGAGAACGACATGCCCGTGGGGCTTGATGGGCTTGACGGGGTCGAGATCATCCTGCATTACACTGGGCGCAGCGAGAAACAGCCCTCTGAGAAGGATTCCTCTGAGAAGGAGCCCTCTGAGAAGGTAGAGCAAGATCCGCACAACAGCATACCGATTCCCGTCGTATACAGCCGTTGCGTTATTCGAGATATCATTGAGAGGGCAACGAGTAAAAGCGGAAGTTCGGTCGCGATCGTGGCTTGCGGACCAGCTGCGGTGCTGAAAGACTCCAATGATGTTGCGGCGTTGGCACAGAAGCGGATACTCCAGTCAAGTTCCGGCGCTCGGGAGGTGTACTTACACACGGAGCTCTTCTCGTAAGTTGCCCCCTTGGTATGCAGAGAGACCGTCTTACTGATCTATGTGGACACAGGTGGTAAAGCGTGCGTGGCCGCATCCGTGTTGCATTCTGGCCTTATAGGGCGGTCCTATGTGTACCTTGATGATATCCATGACCCCGATCATAGCTCAGGGTAGAGAACCCAGTCTCATTGCCTCTAATGCGATAGCTGTTGGGGAACGAATGACACGATTCATGAAACGTCAGCTTTTCAACCTCAGAGAAGCACGATACTCCGTCTGAACATGACAGTCACAAGTGATATCCATGCATACGTGTGCTCCGAAAGCTCGGAAAGAAAACACGCACGGCTTCCTGGTTCTTGAGGATCGAGCTTGTACTGCATATGACGGCGGCGGGCATGAGGTAATTTTAGCCGTTTGAGGGTGTCCGTAACCTTGCTGAAGAGGGCTTGATCGCGAACCCCGGGATACCGAGCCTAGTTATAGACCTAGAGGTCCAGCTAGATACGAGGCATTGTGATGCTGATGGATCTGCATGATCTTTGCGGAGATGAACGGTGTCAGTAGCGGATCTTCCTCTGCTCCGCCGATTTGGTGACACGAGGTGTCCCGGGCGAGTCTGGTTGATATAAAAATATCAGCTGACCGCCACATCTCATATGAGCCGCAAAGTTTCAAGGCGTTCGATGCCTAGGACTCTCAAGATAAGAAGCTTTCGTCCATACTGCTAGTCATCACATCATAATACTTTGATAATGAAGCTCTCACGCTCGCCATTATGGCTCCGGCCGCAGTAGTCGCAGCCACCAGCGAGAATATCACGATCTCGGACTTCGTGTACCACAAAAACAACGGCTTCCCACAAGTTGAATTCAATCTTTCAGTCAACGGGGTTAGCTGCTATGCTGAGAAGTACACTGTTCCCGGCGAGGGGTACGGCTGTAGCGTCCCCGAGTTCACGTTCGACATACTCGAAGAACAGGGCCCGGATCTGCGGTTGTATCATGAAGTCGACGGGTAGGCGATCACGCAGAATCAGTCGTAAGATCTCGAGAGACTGGTGATTAATGCTTCGCGATAGTGCCACGCTTGCGGGTGATTTCCACATCCTCATGAACGGACCGGTTCCGACGATCCTCGATCAAGTCGGTACTTCGTCCAGCGTACTGACGCCGGTCGGGGAGGGCCAGTAGGACAGGGTGCGGAAAGGTAGGACGATTCGTCGGTGGAGCTGTATTGGCGGCGCCCGTTATGAGGTGATGGTGGGAAAGGGGCTCCCTGTTCCCAGGTGACACGATATACTCGTTGTGAAGAGGCCATTTTCTTCGGTCATTGTCGCCTAGCAAGGCCTATGTGAGAGGGTGATGAACTTCATCTATCAGTGCCTAGTGGACGGGTTTGCCATCGTAATGGCGGTTTGAAGTTGTCCAGCATAGGTTCGGGGAATGATTGAAGTGATGCCAAACGAGGGTGCAAAGAAAACAGCAATTCCTCCTCAAACAAGATATCCCAGATGTACAAAACATGGGCTCAACTGGGAATTGCCATCTGACTTGCTTCCGAGGCTTTGGATTCAGAGGTTGTAGCAAGTCTACTCTTCTTCGGGTTGTTGTTGTTGTTGTCAATGTTCGTGGCTGGAGAGGTTTGTGGCTGTCACAACATCTCATTGATTCATGTTTCATCAATCGCAACCAATGACGCTGGCTTCCCCCCTATACCGTTGAAACATTAGCGTAACCTGCCTTGCACCGCTCTATTCCAGGGGAAGTTCGGTTCTAGCGCGGTTGGTGCTGCTACCGGGTGCTACGTTACCTGGTACCTTAGCAAAGCTCAGACCACCGATCTCGGTAGCACTTCAGCCCACTGTAACATTGTTGCTGCGGTGTCTGGCACAGGGACAGCGGTTGCATCAAATATCTTGCAGTGCAATAAGCGCTTATGCCACCTGCAGCTGCTGCTTGTGCAATTTATTATCTCGACCGCTTTGCTAGCACTGGAGGTGGAGATTGATCATCTCACCGCATTCCCCCGACTGTGACTTCTGTCTGTCATTCCTTGGAACGACATGCAACCCCACGGTGCCATGGCGATGGGCTGAACATCGATGAATCCATCTTGGTCTCACATCACAACAAAACGTCCCTCTTGTCTGCTCTGACAGGCAGAAAGACCTGCATATCCCGCTGCTCACCTTTTCTTGTCTTCTTCTCCTGCCTTTCTAGACATGCATTGACCTTTCGCTGTCGTCTCTCGTCTCTTGTTTCTTGTTTCTTGTCGTATTGGTGCATTGACGCAAACTAGGTACACCGATGACAGAAAAGCGCACACCTAGCTTTGTCGCCTTTCGTTTCAACAAGGCCACATCCCAGTACATCAAGCCCCTCTACAGCGTTGATGCCTGCTTGTTATGAAGGCATACACTCGCTTCTCCACGACTCCAATTCCTGTTCTCCACGACTCCTCCACTGGGGCCATTCTGCCGTCACCGCGCGTCTGTTTCGCGTCCTGATCTTTCGAAGGGCATCCCACAGTCGCTAGACAACTCGGGCACAACCGTTCCAGCGATTTGGAGCTTCTATCTATCCATTTCTTCCTCGGCCTTGTCCCACCGTGTCTGCAGATCACCCGACGACGAACCTGCTACCTAGACCATTGAACGCCGATACGATTACGATTGACGAACCGCCCATTACAGAAAACGAGCCAGGAGCCTGACGAGATGGCGGAACGAGACTACGACGACAGCAACGAGGCTCTGGACCCGGAACTTCTGTATACCAAAGAATATTGCATTGGTGCGCTTCTCTGCCATATCTGGTTGGGAAAACTGCTAATTGCTTCCCTGCGCAGGTGGAGGCAGCTTTGGGAAGGTCTTCAAGGGGTTTGTGGTTTCCTCGAGGTGCCTGGGTACTTCTACCGACTAACGCACAACTAAAAAGTGTCGAGAAGCGAACCGGACAAGCCGTAGCAATCAAGGTTATCGATATCGAAAGCGCCGAAGACGAGGTCGAGGACATTATACAAGAGATAGCCATACTGTCCGAACTCCAGTCGCCCTATGTCACGAAATACTACGGCTCCTACGCCAAGGGCGCCGAACTATGGATTGTCATGGAGTTCTGCTCTGGTGGGAGCTGCGCTGATCTGATGAAGCCCGGGCAGATTGGGGAGGACTACATCGCCATTGTTGTCAGGGAGCTTCTTCTCGGTCTGGAATACTTGCATGCGGACAAGAAACTCCATCGAGATATCAAGGGTACAGAGCTACACCCGCATCCTGGATTTATTCTATCAAGTCACTGACCAGGCGTCCTTGCAGCTGCCAACATTCTGCTTGGCTCTAACGGCCAGGTCAAGTTGGCGGATTTCGGCGTCTCTGGGCAACTATCTGCAACCATGACAAAGAAAAACACTTTTGTCGGTACCCCGTTCTGGATGGCCCCCGAGGTCATCAAGCAGTCTGGATACGATCATAAAGCGGACATTTGGTCGTTGGGGATTACCGCGCTAGAGCTTGCCAAAGGCGAGCCGCCCTACGCCGACATCCATCCGATGAAGGTATTATTCCTGATTCCGAAGAACCCTCCGCCCAGGTTGGACGGTAACTTCACCAAGGCGTTCAAGGATTTCATCGAGGCTTGTCTACAACGCGACCCGAAGGATCGCCCGTCCGCCAAGGATCTACTGAAGCATCCCTTCATCCGCAAGGCGAGGAAGACGACCTACCTGACCGAGTTGATCGAGCGTTTCACCCGCTGGAAAGCCACAAACAGATCGGATGATGACGATTCGTGGGATGGGGGAGACGAGCCAGTCGAGAGATCACCCGTGAACGAGGACATGTGGGACTTCGGTACCGTCAGAATGGTCGGTGATAGAGGAGCCCTTGTCAACAGACCAGGGTTGAACGCAATGGACGACTCCGCTAGGAACGCACGAGCATCGCGGCCTTTGGAAGCAGATTATGGGGAAATCTCGCGAGCAACATCTCCCAACAAGGTCCAGGTGCAAGATTTCGTCGATGCTTCGGTCTCTAGCACTGTTAAGGCGAACAACGCCACAGCCTACGGAACCTCAAGACAGTCCTCACCCCAGCGCAAGCCGCTCCAAGGCGGCGTGCAATTATCCCCTTCGAAAGTCCCACTACCTCCCTCCCCACCAAAACATATGCAGGATCCGAACACACCGCGACCTGTCCCGAGACAGATGCCACCTGCGCCTACATTGATGTCTCCCGATTATGACCGTGCCTTGCAGGCGCAATTGCAGCATGACATGAGCTACCTACATATCGCTCCTCCTACCCAACCGGAGTTCGGAAGCCAGCAGCCGTCGTTGGCATCTAAGAACTCGCAATCACAGCTACAACAAGCAAGGGGGCCTACAAAGGCTGGGCCGTTGAGTTTGCCAGAGATTCCGCCATACCGTGGCATGAGCCCGCAACCGCCCATGCAAAGAATCACCAATCAACAGCCCATGCCCAACTCGCAAGCGTTTGCCTCCAAAGCACAACCCACGCAACTGCCGTCCGCGCCCGAGGCGTTTCCGTCACCAGCTCCCGCAAATCCCAACGGTGAGCTCGACGCGTTGAACGACGTGATCTTTCCTGCCCTCGAAGAAGCCCTGAAGAGACGGCAGATCCGACTACAGCAAATATATCGCAATGAAAGGGTCATTACGCCCCAGAGACAGCGAGCGGAGGCTGCGCATGACAAGATTCGCAAGAATGTCTACAAGCTGGCCAACGTGTGCAAGGAGATTGACCGCCTGGACAAGAGCGAGCCGGTCGGAATGGGCAAGGACGTTGGTACGTTTCTTGAGGGCCTACTCGAGGAAATCCTCGTCAGGGTCGAGCCTTTGGATGAGGAGGAAGCTGTTTGAATGATATCCTTTGATTCGGCGTGCATGAATGTGGATTGTAGCGCTTGCTCGTGTAGCGATACGTGCGGTGTTCGGCCCACACATACTTTGTCAGTCCCCACAGATGTTCATAGGCACAGTTGCCTATGAAGATGCTTACACATCAACAAATTCCCCTGAGAGCATTGCAGGCCACGGTCCTTATTTTTCTAGGGCCAGAGCCGCAACAAACTGCTTTTGCTTTGATAGACTACCAGAAATGGTGATGATCTTTGAAATGGTCTTATCACCAATCGCGTTGTGATGGTTGGCTAGGGCGAGCAAGATGCCATTCATGATGTCGCCGCCCAGAAAGCGCTCGAATCGTTTAAGTGAATCGCTGTCATCCCCTCGTTCCCAAACAGCTATCTCGTCTGTTGACTTCCCTACCTCCTCATAGTTATGGGCAGTGATGCTCCAGAAACCCTTGTTATTAATGTCCATCAACAAGATCAGCTTGAGGTTCTTAGTGTTCTCCCCAGCCACCTTGGCGTAACACTGCCAGCTGATCTCGTTGGCGGGCACGTATCTGCGGTCGTCTCTGGGCGTGGGGTTACGGGCTTTGTAGGCCTCGACCATAAAGAAGAGCTCGCCGTGGGGATCGTACGCGCCCTCGGTCTCCTCGCGGCGGGCGAGCCGATTCCATACGTCGAAGAAGTAGCGCGCGAACAGGTCCTCGCTCACGGGCGCGCCGGAATTGATTCTTTTCTTGGACCAGCCCGCGTCGACTACGGCGATGCCCTGCAGGATCTCGATGTCGGTCAAAGGCAATGGGGGCTGTATGCTGCTGGTTGACTGGATCTGCGGTTGAGAGTCCTCGTAAGCCCAGAGCTGCCAATAGCCAAGTATTGAACCTCATTTCGCAATGGAGAGGACCGTTGAGCGAGAAGCTGATGCGCTTGGTGTTTTAGTAGCTGGCAGTGCCTATGAACTGACTCGTTACGGCTACGACTTGAGGGGCGTTGCTGCTAAGGTGGTCTCCTCCAGCCGTGTTGTGTTATTGCCCGGCAGGTGGCTCTACTTGTACTCTATGAAGATGAATCGTCAGAGGTGTCAATCAGACTGTTTCGTATCATCTTCCCCTAACAGTGGAAGGACGGAAGCTAGAGGTCATCATGCTGACCTGCTATCGCCACTATTACCATATATCAACCCAGGCTCTTCGCCACTATGTGCCACTGATCATCGATATGAGGTTTGAGTTAAGAAGTTGTTATTACCCCATGTATTATATAGATAGGTATCCGGGAAAACCCCAGGATATTCCCTCTTTATAATGTACGTATACTGCTACCTAGGGTCTAGATCGACTTATGGGATCCGTCGACCAACGTAAACAAGGAAAGAGAAACTCTGGGGTGGCACAGTTTTTCTATTCTTGTCCACGGGCCGTGCCGCAGTAGGCATTCTCCCAACGCCTGATCAACCGCGTTCCTTTTCGCATCTAGAGCCATCATCGCTTTGCGGCACATGATACTAATTGAACCCCCAAAGTATATGTGCACCCCATACTTAGTCAATGTCCTGAATATGCGTAACGTATCTTTCTGGTGTGGTTCAAGTAACCCAGAATAAAAATTCGAAAAAAGTTTGTTGCATTACTCCATAGCGCCCTGCAAGATCTCTCCCGTCTCCCAAACCAACACGCATCCAATTCATCATGGTAGCCTCGAGGCTGAGTTCTTTCCCCATACCATAGTATGAACCAAATGGTAAGCAGTAGCCCAGTCGCTCGCTTTGTAAAACCTAGCCCTATCCCTCACCATCGCCTCCCTTACCCTTCATCACAAACCCCTAACGACGACGAGCCCCATGCGCGAGCAGCTTGTCCTGCAAAGCCTTGACCTTCTCCGCCACAGCTACTCCCTTCTCCCGCAAAGAGCGCCTGGTGGCACCCACAGGGAGACAGCTCCAGCAGGGGTCGGTGTGATTGTCATGTTGTCTGTGTTCCCCGGCAGCGGCTTCGACGGTACCCTCCCGATCCTCCTCGGGCTCTACCGGCGTGATCATCACGGTCACCGGCCTGCGGTTGGCGCTTCGGGTGGCATTGTTGATTGTCGGTACTGTGCTAAATGTATACCCCGTCGAGCTTCGGTTGAGTAAGGGGGGAAGTCTCGAGACTCGCCCTGTCGACACGGGCGCTGGGGCTGCAGGCGCAGATCTGGTCGCTAGGGTGGCAACGGTGGTTTGTGATTGTCTCATTATGGATGTTGGCTCAGGTCGGGCGCCTGAGATCTTGTGGTCTCTGATGGTGGTCTCTGATGGTGGTCTCTGATGGTGGTCGGCAAGGCATGGATCGAACGAGCAATTGCACAGTGAAAGGTGCAATATACTCGGTGGTCCTCGCAAACCAAAAATGCGGGTTGCACAGGGTGATGAGGTCCAAGTGGTTCTCGCATTTTCACGTGCTCTGACCTATCGGGCTGCTAGTAGAGGTAAATATGCTCACAACATGTGCGCTCGCGCTCGCCGTCGGGCTGTGGCTGGCCTTGTAGAAATTAGAGCCCCCCAAGCCGTGATATGTAGATAGGCAACAGCAACAGTTCTTGCAATGCTTATGCCATTGAATCTGGTACTGACTGGACCGGTCGCTGAGCCAGCCAATCCAAGGTGGAAGTGAAGATGTGATGATTGTACAGTTGTTTCATCCTGGAATAAGATAATGGGAACTCCCGTTTGGCTTCCGTGGCGCATGGCAGACTTACACGTGGTACCGTGCTCATATGGTCAGATCGAGTGAATACATCCATTTGGAAGGGTTGTTATATAACGCTTCCAGTAATCTCGTCAATATTTCCACCGCCGACAGTAAAAAGATCCAATCTGCTGAGTTTCTTACGGGCAGAAGCAGGGCGGGCTATCCTGAATCTAGCTTCCGGAGGCACCACACCACAATCCCAATGTGACTACCCAGGGCACTTCTATCACTCAGAAGCTCATGCTGAGTGTGAGGATTACTTGCAAGAATGCTGATCGTCTAAGCTCCCAGTAGAATCGTCATACCTACATGTACAACAACCACATATATGGGCGTCGTCACTTACCATATCGTTGCCGAAGACCACTCACTGCCTTGAAGCTGCGTTCAGGGGCTGCACATTCGAGCAGTCTCCTTCTTCTTGTCAAATCACCACACGTGCAAATGCTGTGCCGCTCGCCTTCGGTTACAGTTAAATCCGCCAACTAGATGGTCAACCAACCAACCAACCTGAAAGGATCCGCTTGGACCAACGGGTATGCCTGGACCAGATAATATGTAGATCGAGTGAAAAGTTCCAGGATTGGAACCTTTTTTCAGCTCATTCCAGCGGTAAGTCCGCAAGTCCGCAAAAGTTCCGTAAGCATTACTAATATTGAGATCTACTAGTCGTCCAAGCAACAGCAGAAGGGACACATATAAGCACCGTTGCATCTACACAAGCCAGAGATAGTTTTCCATCATTGTCACTCGTCATTCTCTCAGTCTCCAGGCTCTCCGGGTATTCACTTGACGTCCCGAACCAGAAACTAGCCATGGCGACTACCACCAGCAACATCCGCTCAGCCCTCCCGCCAAGCTGTGCGGTCTCCACGCCCAGCAGCGACGACACCGTCTATACGTTCCTGAGCAAGCGATGGAGCACCCTGGGCCCGTCGACGCTGCCCGCGGCGGCGGTCGTACCCTCCACCGAGGACGACGTCGTCGCCATAGTACAATTCGCGGCCGCGAACGGGTTGAAGGTCCTGCCGCAGTGCGGAGCCTGCGGCGGCCTCGTGATCACTACTGCCAAGACGCTCTATGTGGACATGGAGAAGTTCCGCGAGGTTGACGTTGACAGGGATGCAAGGACCGTCACGTTTGGGGGAGGCGCGCTGGCGGGGGATGTGCAGCCGGCGGTGACGGCGAAAGGGTTCTATACGGGTAAGCTACAGCAACCATTCCATGAGCAGAGCTTTCTGAGTTGACAGATTGACGCTTACCTACTTCAGGATGGCCCAACATGGGAATAGTCGGGATGGTCGGCAACGTGCTCGGCGGCGGACTCAACCTGTTCAAGCCCATAAAGGGACTTACCTGCGACAATCTCATCAGCGCCAGGTTCGTCACCGCGTCCGGCGACATAGTCGAGGTCTCGTCAGAATCGACTGGGGCTGAGAAACAGCTCTTCAACCTCCTCAAGGGTGCCGGTGCCGGGTTCGGAGTGATCCTCTCGTTGACGATGCGCATATACCCGACGGCGGAGCTCGGTCTGGCCGACGGCACGGGCATCTCCGAGGTGATGGCCATGTTCGCGCGGGAGGACTTCGACGCTGCCGCCAAGCTGTGGGAGATGGTATCGCAGAGCCCGAGCCCGATGTCTGTAATCTTCGTATTCATGGCAGCGCCGCCGAACATGTCTATCGCAGGCCAGCCCGTCATCATGGCGCAGGGGATGTACCCGGGCCCCGCATCGGAGGCGCAGAAGGCGTTCGCGCCGTTCAACGCGCCCGGGATCAAGGACAGGGCCATTATGGTCAAGCCGGGAACCACCCAGCTGGAGACGATGAACGCGCAGCGCGATGCTATGGCGAAGAAGGGGCGCAATATGGACGTGTACAACGGGCTGGTCTACAACCTCTCGCCCGAGACGCTGCTCCGGGCCGCGAACAAGTTTGCCGAATTCGTCGATACGCACGGGGCCGCCGTGGGTCGCACCAACACAGGGCTGCACCCGATGCACCCCGAGACGCTCCTGCGAACCGGCGGCGCCGGCGAGGACAGCTTCATGTGCCACCGCGACCGCAATTTCAATGTGCAGACTGCGCCGTGGGATCTCGACGACGACTTCGTGCCTGTGGCTCAGCAGCATGGGCGGGAGATGCTCGAGCTTCTTCGCGGCGAGGACAGGGCGAAGGGCATCCCGAACGCCATACTCGCGGGCAATGCGCGGGTCGAGACGGACATGACGGAGATCCTGAGCCCGGAGAAGCTGGATATCCTGCGGAAGCAGAAGGCGGAGTGGGATCCGAAAGGTGTCTTCTGGAATGCGGCGGTGGATGGATGGGCGGTTTAGGTATGAGGGTCGATCGTTCGTTTCTGAGATCAAGGACTTGTGAGGTATTCAGTGGAAACTTAAGCCAGCTGTTAAAATATATGACTCTTTGAAGGGCCTTCATAGGCCTTGGAGTCGACGAAAGGGATGAGACAGTATGGAAGAGGAAGGCCACATGGACTTTCGAGGCTCCTTTGTTTAGGCCTGTGAACTCAAAACATTATTCCCCTCAGCCTGAAAGCAGGTGGTTGGTTACCGTATTCCGAACCCAGGCAGCCAAGCTGTCGTCTGGCAGAAGTCGACAAGTCGTGAAAAGACCGAGCTTCCACCAAATTTTTGTTGATGTCAGTGCCACAGAAGTTGGTCACTGGTGGTGACAGTTCCATGATCGAGTCCGCAGCAGCAGCAAACGCGTCTCCAGGGCTGCCCTTCGCAGATCATCGCCACTTATCAGTAAGTCTTGTGGTCGGTCATGAGATATAGTAATACCGTATCTACATGGAGAATCGGCGCGGTCGGCTCTTTATTAAAACGGGTTATGGGTGCAGCTTCGTGATCATCGGAAGCGGCCAGGACCCAGCAGATGGGGAAGGAATGCCCCTGAACCATCCCGAGGCCCGTGTTAGGGGTATCACGTAGTCTCAAGCTTCCCTCTCCCATTCGGACCGCCTCGCAATTGTGTTAGTCAAAGCCTTCGTGTGGTTGGTCAATGGCCCCCAAGTGGCAAGCATGGAAGTCCGAGAGAAAAGTTTCGGTGGAGTTGCGGCGACCGGTTAGAAACGCTCACTGCCGGCCACGCTTTTTATTATTTTCCTAGGGGCTTCATAGTGGGCTGGTTTTCCCTGTCTTGGGGCGGGCCCAGCCGAAATCGCGAGCCTGCCAGACCTGCTGCCCCGAAGGCGACTCACGATGACTGGTGACAGATTACTGATGACTGAATCCGGGTCGGCTGATCCGAGCTTCAACATTTCACGATGGGATCCATCACTGGACTGGCTGGCCTAGGCTGTGGACGGAGTGATGGCTTCGTGAGCGGAGCAGAGTTTTCGTGCTGATGGATCTCGGACGCCGCCGGTCCCAGCCAACAGGTAAAAATGTCTACTATTTCCCACGTCCCGTCCTCGGCCATGGTTTCTATGACTGTTCGTTTCTCTGTCGTGACTTTTTGACACAAAGTGCATTGGCTCGAGTGCCAGCAAAGCGGATCCCATCATTCGACAACGACGACGAGCGTGGTGGTTCTCCGGCTTGGCAGTTGCTGTTCCTCTTTGAGCCTACACTTCAACCATCATCTCACCCCGTCACTCAGTGTCACTACAGTCAAGGAGAAACGTCGAGATGGGCGGTCCTTTCGCCAAACAGGAGAAGCAGCCTGGGGACGCTGTTCAGTCGCTGAACGGCTCCTCCCAGAAGGATATCGAGACCGGCGACGACGAGCTGCACCGCGGCCTTTCGGCCTTCCACTTGCAGTTCATAGCTATTGGAGGAACCATTGGGACCGGTCTATTCCTGGGTGCCGGCAATGCGCTGGCGGAGGCCGGCCCCGTGGGCTGCCTGATCGCCTTCATCTTCGTCGGCACCATCGTGTTCTCGATCATGACGAGCCTGGGCGAGATGGCCACCTTCATCCCCGTGGCCGGCTCCTTCACCATCTACGCGTCGCGCTTCGTCGACCGCTCGCTCGGCTTCGCCATGGGCTGGATCTACTGGTTCAGCTGGGCCACGACCTTCGCGCTCGAGCTCGTCGGTTCCGGCATCGTCATCCAGTACTGGGACGCCAGCCTGAGCATCGGCATCTTCATCGCCATCTTCTGGGTCGTCTTCACCGCCGTCAACTTCCTGCCCATCCGCTGGTTTGGCGAGTTCGAGATGTGGTTCTCCAGCATCAAGGTCGTCACCATCGTCGGCTTCATCATCTTCGCCATCTGCATCGACGCCGGCGTCGGCCAGCAGGGCTACCTCGGCTTCCACGCCTGGGTCAATCCTGGCTCTTTCGCTCAGTCGGATCTTGTGTCCGGCGGCGTTGGCAAGTTCGTTACCTTCTGGTCGGTGCTCATCACGGCCGGGTTCGCATACCAGGGCTCCGAGCTCGTCGGTGTCGGTGCAGGCGAGACTGCCAACCCCGAGAAGGCCGTGCCATCCGCCATTCGGTGGACGTTCTGGGGTATAGTCTCACTTTTTGTATCCACCATCTTCTTCATCGGCCTCTGCGTGCCGTATGACAACAGTGCCCTTACGATCGGCACCAGCGATGCGTCCGCCTCACCCCTCGTCATCGCCGCCAACCTCGCCGGCGTCCCGGTACTCCCACACATCATCAACGCCGTCCTCCTGACAGCCGTGCTCTCGGCCGCAAACTCGAACGTCTACTCCGGCAGCCGCATCATCGTCGCCCTCGCCAACGAGCACCACGCGCCCGCCTTCTTCAAAACCACCAACCGCTTCGGCACGCCGTACTACGCCGTCGGGCTCACGTCGGCCATCGGCCTGCTCGCCTTCCTCAACCTGTCGTCCAGCGGCGGCGACGTCTTCAACTGGCTGCTGAACATCACCGGCGTCGCCGGCTTCATCACCTGGTCCTGCATCAACATCTGCCACCTGCGGTTCATGAAGGCGCTGAAAATCCGCGGCATCCCCAGGAGCGAGCTCGCCTACAGCGCGCCCATGCAACCCTATCTCGCCATCTACGGGCTGTTCTTCTGCATGTTGATCCTGTGGACGAACGGTTTCACCGTGTTCATTCAGTGGAGCACGGGCGATTTCTTCGCGGCGTACACGAGTCTGATTCTGTTTGTCGTCCTCTATCTGGGACACAAGGTCATATTCCAGACGAGTTTTGTGAAGATAGCCAACGCTGATATAGATAGCGATCGTGCTGTAAAACAATAGTCGGAATGGCTTAGCGTAGCATGTAATTGTAGTAATCGATAGTCTCCAAGTTCAAATCTGTCTTTCGCATGATATTTCGATGCCAATGTTCCCGTCTCGTCGCATTGCATGATTCCAGTCCTTACCAGCACCCTAGATGACCCTGACTTATCGGAAGGAAAGCGACGGCAGCTACCTTGAACATGATTCGGTATCGTGGACTGTAGGTGGCTCGGATGTATCTTTGATGGTAAGCTCGCGCCTTGTAACAGAGTCCTACACCAATGGCTTGCCAATATGGACTTGCTGCGTAGCCCCTGACCGCTTTGCTTGCAGATGTACCGACAACTGCCTCTACTCCCATGACTGAACTCATAGCAAGCGATTGGCACTCTCATCCAGCTGTCGCAGCTCGTACTCTTCCACGGCTCTCCATGGCCAAAGCTATACCTTAAGGGATGCAAGCCCCTGGGGACAGGATCTACGGATGGTTTGGCCTAGCTGCCCAGCGCATTGCAAGCAGTGTCCAGGCAACACAAACACCGCGATCAAAGTCAACCTTTCGCAGCAAGCGCTCTCGGATCCAGATGTGATATAACACACGCCTCGCGTCCTTACAGGGCTGTCTACTGGCCGGTCGTTTACCGCGCTGAGCCGTCATAGATCGATTCCGGACGCGTCTCCTCCTAGCCACGTGCCACGGCAGCCGCCGGAGAAGCCGAATGCGAGAGTGATAGTTCCCGTTTACTGCTTTGGTCATTTCCCGTTTTCGACTAGGATCAAAGAGTGCTGTGTTCTCTTACCAACTTCGCAATAGAGACTTTTGTAAGCCGCGAGCAGATGATACAACCCGACATGATGTAGGTAGTAGGCATCGACACCATCCGAACCAACCCCCACCCGAGCCGGAGTAAGCCCCGCCTGGTGAGGAACCCGGGCACGTCCCACATGCTCTGGACCAATGGAAGTACAATTAGGGCAGCTCGGTACACACAATCGCATTCATAGCAGCAATGCCTATATGTATCTCCTTTTTTTCAAATTCCATCATCCAATCAGTCAGGTGATCTGGCCAATACCCATGGGCTTGTGGTTTAGTGGTATAATACTCCCTTAGCATGGGAGTGGTCCGGGGTTCGATTCCCCGCGAGTCCATCATTAGAGGTTCAATTCCTCTTGTATCAAACTTTTTGACTATGTCATGGTGGTTTCATTTTTTTTGTCATGGCCTCTGTGTTTCTGCTGCGGGAACGCAAATCAAGATCAGACATACCTGTGCTTGCATCCATCGTGTCTAAACAGACCAAAGCACCCATTGGATTTTGGCCGCACGCACGTCACGAATAGGGGCGTGAGAACCATCACCGAGCGAGAACGTACTTTTCGTCTTGTTTCATACTTGGTAGAGTAGCGGACAGCGATCACGGAGGGTGGTTCCATACTCTAGTCTTGCAATATGCCATGTCACTTCCAGAACCCATGCGGTGGTGGCCGGTACCAATGACGGCACACCTAGAATATCAGCCTGCCTCTCGATGAAAGAAGCAAAAGGAAAGACACATTAAAGGCTTGTCAGATATTCGAGGGATGTTAAAAGGGGTCGTTAAGAAAACTGTCACTTCTGTCTTTGTTGGATTCCTGGACGCTCAAGAGCCGCCGGGTTATGCCCTAAAACAAAACAAAAAGCATCGCCTCTGGTGCTATACTCGGAGGCAGAATTTGATCAGAGTGGGACTCGAACCCACGCGGATTGCTCCACTGCGAAGTTGTTTTCAGGTAACCTGAACGCAGCGCCATAACCACTCGGCCATCTGACCCGACAAAGCGCCATTACTAATGATTCACTCCCGATGCTTGCAGTTTCTTAGTCGGTCGTGAAATAATGGGGAGACAGTCGTCTCTTGAGCAGGCCGACGTCTTCATGGGGTAGCAAGGCGATGGAGCCTGGGAGGTTGCGGGAGACGGGGAGGCGGAGGCGGAGAATGGAGCGGAGAACGGGGCCGAGGGGGGCCGAGAATGTCGCCAAGGACGACGACAAGGACGACGACAAGGACGACGACAAGGCAGACACTCCGAAAGTCGTCCACGACGAGGAGGAGGCAAAGACACCTCGTAGATGAGAGGCGGGTTCTCGAGATAAGAGGACGATGGAATACATCTGAGGGGCGTCCATCCCATCATATAACTCTGCGCCACGCATCAAGAGGCAATAAGCAGCCTATCAGACCACGGAGATCGTATGAGCACGACAAGATACGTCGTTGTATGGGGGCAGCGGCACAGGAGCGGAGAATACCTAGTCGGGTAGCTGAGTTTCATATAAGCATCTCACAAGACTGTCACATTACAACCCAAGTCTATCACGGCAAAGACCGAAAGATGGGATGCAATGCATTCATCGCTAACAATACTGTAGCAATGTGAACCGCGCCACCGCGGCCCGCGTCTATCTATGGATATTCCCCATGTGTCGAACAACAGATGCAACTCCCGTTAACCCTGCGAGACCTAACGCGAATACTCATGGATATGCAATGCTGCGTTTACGAATCCTCAAGGAATTCGATCATAACTGTTCCCTGCTTCAAACCAGCCTCCTCGATAGTCTTGTCGAGCTCTTCGATCAAGTCTCGGCCTGCCGGCATTGCCTTCAGTTCGAACTGGACGCCCTCCTTGCCCTCCAACGGCTCCGCCTTGAGCCACTCAAACAAACACCGAACTGTATCCGTAGCATTGAACCGGCGGATGACTCGTCCTCCAGAGTGTCGGAACTGTATTCTGGTTGTAGTAGCCGGATTGTTCTCCGGCTCCACATGGGGGCTAATTGCCGAGATCTGTGCAAATGTTGACTCAACCGTCGGGGGAGGAGGAGCCTGTTCAGAGCCACCCGTAAGATCGACAGCCTCATCCGTCGCCTTGCCCTTTCCTTTGCTCTTTGTAAGTGAGTCCGGGTCTTCAACATTGGACCCAGAGGATCCACCGTCGTTGTCAAGGCTGTTTTGCATCGCCAGCTGTAACATCTCTTCCTCGGTCAATCGTCCCACGTCAACCTGTTTAGCCTTCGGCTTCGACTTCACCACAGGGTTCTTGCTGTTAGCAGCCAAGCTATACCGATCGAGGAACTCGACGAGCTCCGAATAGAAATCCGTCACCGATGGAAATTCGCTTCCCGACCAGACTTTGACTTGTTCTCCTGTTCGCGGGTCGACAACTGAGACATGAGGATAATTGTCTTGGTTTTCGTGGGCTTCGTTGGGGAAGTAGAATTGGATGTAGTCGGTGGCCGTCGGGTCCGTCTTGTCGTACTGCAGGAAGATGAAATGCTCCTTGACAAGGGACTTGATATCGTCATTCTTCCAATGATCTCTGTTCAAGGCCTGGCACTGAAACACACTAAGGTCCTGGAGGTTGACTAGAAGCCACTTCTTCTGGTCCTTGCCCTCGTCTCTCGCATGGTCCCACGTCCATGGACTCATCAAGTCGTACGGCGGCCGAAAGAGACTGGCTAACATGGCTGGTCGTGATACGGGTGCAGCGGCGGGTCCTGGTCTGGTGCCGCTCGGTACCGGCGGCGCAGATGCGTCGTCCCAGAAGCCGGGTGTCTGCTGGAAAGGGTTCGAAGAGTTGTTATGAGCTACATACAAGGTTAGCAAGATAGATAAATAATAGTCGGCGAAGCACTCACGTCGTCGAGGCGGATGGCGACGAGCTCGGATCTGCTCCAAGACGGCAGCCTCCCGGTCCTCATCATGCAGACCCCAGGACGGGTCCGGCGCAGCCAGCATCTCTGTGGTTCTAGCTATGGGAGCTCGCACGCCGTCTTCCGAAGCACCGGACCCAGCAGCGCCGCCGGGACCCGGTCCGTACAGCTCGTCTTGCAGCCGTCTTGCCATCTCGGCATCCTCCTCTTCTTGTGCGTTTCTCGCCACCCAGATCACACCGTCGTCATCAGAGTCGTTGATGGGGTCATCCGTCATAGAAACATCCTCGTCGTCGTCGGAATCGATGTGAATAACACCGCCGGCATCCTCACGGCCGGTGCGTCTCGTGGCTCGACTTGGCTGGGCTGAGGCAGCAGGTGCAGCAGATGGTGCGCTGAAGCTCGCCTGGAGATCGGGGTTCTCGAAGAATAGCGTGATGGCCTGCATCGGATCCCCATTTGAGATGTCTAGGTAGCCGCGAGCGATGCGGCCGGAGGCGACACCAGTCACGGTCATGAACTGTTCCACCCCGTCATCCATCTTGGGCGTTTGCGACGTTCGGATGGAAGTATGAGGTAGTATGCGATTGGCAAGTCGGTGGTCGAGTAGGTAGGTGGTCGACCTGGTATAATGTGCGGGAGAGTAGTAGCTGGAAGTCTGCTGGAATGCTGATATGGAGTGTAGAGTCAAGTGTTGGCAGTTTGATGGGTTTAGAGGTAGGTACTTCGTAGGTACCAGCACGTAGATGGTGGAAGGTGCAGATTAGAGGGCAGGAGGGGTACTCGGCAGGGCGCTTTGTTGAGGTTGCGCAATACCATGAACACAAGGTACTGGTACTGGATGGAAGGGAGGCAGGAAAGGAGCAGAACTGATGGAAGCTCCGACAACAAGCCCTGAGTATCTCGTCGTCAAGATGGACTGAGTGCGGAATGAGTGCAAGATTGTGCTGGTGGTGCAATGTTCAATGTTCAATGTTCACTCACTGTTGACCTCACCAGGCCCTCAAGGCGGCTATTGTGACGCAACCGCCAGAGTGGGCACCTGGAGCTTATCGCTGTCACGCTATCACGCTATCTTAGCCCGGGAAAAGTCCGAGCTGAGGTGAGCATTCATTCCATCAGGGGCCACCTCAGCTCTCTTATTACACCTCAGCAGTTTCCATCCGCCTACCTCCACGTGCCGCAAAGAATTCCTAGTGTACAAAGACGCAAGAAGCCTTGGCTCCATACAACAAGCTGTTTGTACGGATTGTTTCTGACTCAGTAGTAGTCGAAAGCCGAAGGGCTTTACCTAACACATCGTCTGCCTCAGTGATGTATTAATCTGACTAAGCCTTTTCTCCTTCTTCACCCCCATGTCGTCCTGCAACTATGGCGTGGCGCACGCTGCTGTACTTCAGCTATTGATAATTACAGACTCGTCATGGCCCGGGCATCAAGTTGGCCTCTTGGGCGCAAGTCGGTAGCGTACGTACGGTAAGGTGGACTGAACACTGAAGATATGGGAGTTGATAGCACAGAGGATCAGTCCCATCACTCGCACTTCCCCCTGGCAAGCAGTTCTTAACTCTCCGGAGGCACTGCGGATTCGAGCGTCCGGATTGCGTGGTGACATGGTTTTGGACGGTTAGTTGATTGGGTAATTGGATGCCGTTCAACTCCAGCCTTACAGCAGCAGACCGTCACCATGCGAAGGACCATGCGAAGGCGCTCTCTGCGACCAGAGGCCTGAGTTTAGGCAGACACACGCAAGATTGCCTGATTGATGTCTGCTGCATACGCGCAGCCTCTTGATTGGAGTCTTCCCCCTGCTGGTGGCAGCACAGCCCAGCCCAGCCCCCGCCTTGAGCCTTGCTCTCCGCCATCTTGTTTCTTAAGAACTCACAGGTCAATAATTCTCCAAGTCCTTTCATAAGCTTGTGCTTGCTATTATCCAAACTGCCATTGGCGTCATTGAGCTTTGGAATGTTTGATTTCTACGACAGCGGCGACGACGGGGGCGACGACGGGGGCGGCGACGGGGGTGATGAGGGGGGCGGCGACGGCGACGGCGACGGCGATGGTGGCGCCTATGGTGCCTACGGCGAAGGTGGTGTGGACGGGCTAGACGACCAGAGCCACGACGACGACGCAAACGAGGCTGATTCAACTATTTTTGTTCACGACACGGATTCCCGGTTGCACGAGATTGATATCCTTATCCCAGAGCTCCGAAAACATAAACCCCCAAGCGATGAAGACGGAAGTCATGATGACGCATCTGATGAACCATTGAATGCGATTCGACTTGACCCGACAGAAGATGGAGAGTGGAGTATGATTTATCATTATATATTTTCTCGCCCGAAATGATTCAGATCATTGTCGTCTGTTTCTACCGGCGTGGCTAACCACCATAAACCAGGGAGTTTCTACGATCCTAGCGGAAGTGCCACCGGAGAGAACACGGGTGCGATATCAGATCGCGAACCAGATGTTTCCGGTAAGCACTATCGAAGAACTGTCTAAACCCTCTGAGTACATCATGCTCATTCTTGTCCTATAAGCCATGGCGTTGCCCTGCGAAGTTACCGATCGAAGCCCAGCCAACGTTTTGGTCGATATTGGAATCCAATTCAAGCCGTTAGAGCTGAATAATGCCTTAAGCCTACTCTACGGTCAGCTGCGCGACCCCCGAGCAATGACAGTAGCCTGCGTTATCGCCTCTGGCGCCGACTTCATCTCCTCACCACAAGGTGCCGACAGGTGCAACTCAGCAGCCCTGCGCTTTGGCTGCCTGCGGCAAGGGCGCCTCACATCACGAGTGATACTGTCAAAGACCGTCGCCTCGATAGTTCGCTTTGTATAGGCTTGCTGACCATGTATCGCTACGCGGTATGCTTTATTCTGGCTTGCTTGCTCTTAATTCGCGACGAGGAAATCTACAGGGTTCTGCCGCCGCACGGAGCCTTCATAAGGGTCCTAGTCCTTCATCCCCAGAGTACTCGCACGACCTTATCTCAGGATTATGCTTACTCAATGGAGATTCTTGATCTCGATCGACCGCATCTTCCTTTCAAGGCATTGTCATATCGCTGGAGTGGTTCTCGGTGGCCCATCTGGCTCGAAGGCAAGATGGTCTGGGTACATTTCAGCTTATATCAAGCTCTGACATCGTTGAGGCTCAGCAACAAAGCCCGAGTCATATGGGCCGATGCAATATGCATCAACCAAGAGAATCTGAAGGAGAGGCAAAACCAGGTGGGCATGATGCAGCGAATCTATAGCATGGCGTCGACCGTTATTATGCAACTTGGACGCGATAGGGGACACGCAGGCCCCTGTTTCCAGACACTCTCTTGGATCGTGGCTGCATGGTCGTCTTTCCAAGCTGCCCGCTTAGGCCCGTCATCTTCAGCGTCATCTGCTCCACCGGGTTGGTACAAGTTCCCTGGACTCAGCAGGGCAGTACCCAGGAAGTTCATGCGTTCAGTTTCCAGGTTGTTTGCCGTCACATATTGGAGGCGCCTTTGGATTGTCCAAGAAGTTGTATCGGCACGCTTAGCCACTGTCGTATGGGGGCCCGAGAAGATCTCTTGGACCATCGTTGGCCTCGCAGCGGCTCTGATCCGCAACAATGAGGCACTCTGGCGGGCCTTTATAGGGAGCACACCACCGTCCATGCGTGGACGGGCCAAGAGTGGCCTGATGAACGCTTACTTGATGCATCAGCTTTCTCAGCAGGATTCCCAGAGACGCCAGCTGTCCTTCCTCGACCTCCTTCGGCTCACTTCTAGCTTCGGTTTCTCTGTGATACATGATAGAATATATGCGATCCTAGGCCTTCCAAGCCAGCACAGCGGCCCTGGAACGCAGTTCTTGCGGCCTGACTATACCCTACTCAAGGAGGGGTTGAACATCCAAGTTTGTCGGCAGATTCTCCACACGCACAACAAGCCATTTGACCTGCTCTCGGCAGTGAAGCACGAACACGTCCCGTCCTCCTTTTTCCCGACATGGATCCCACAGTGGCAGGTCGCGCCTATTAGGAGTATAACGGGCTCATACCGTGAATCCATGAAGTTCAATGCGTCTGCTGGCGCCGTTGACGTATCACCACCCCGCATATCATTGGCTTGGCCAGGTCGAACTTTCACCGTCGAGGGAATAATGGTCGATCGGATCGAGACATCAACCCAGGACTGGAACCAAGGTGGGGTTTCAAGCAATTTCTGGAGCCGGGTTGCCAGGGGATTGAACCGTTCGCTATAGCCCTCACTGCGGGTCAAGACTGGTACAGCACTCCTGTTCAAGGGCATGATGGAATCAACGCACATGTCGCATCCTTCTGTGGCCTCGCACGCCGCCACGAATTGAAGGCCAAACTAATCGAAGACGCCTGCCAAGTGGTCTCCGAGGAAGCTGTAGACGCATATCGCTTGGCCATGGAGAACGTTTGCAAAGAGCGACGGATATTCGTGACCAAGACAGGTTTGGTGGGTCTTGGTGCGGGAGGAATCAGATCAGGAGATGTTGTCTGTGTACTACTCGGCGGGAATGTGCTGTACGTTCTCCGGCGTATTCGGGCTGCCAAGCCGGACTTCAACTTGGTTGGCGAGTGTTACCTACATGGATATATGTTGGGTGAGACAGTTCTCAGATGTCGTAACGGCGATCTGCGGCGCGATACGTTCTGTTTACGGTAATACATCATTAACAGCTCGCGGAGATCGAGGACCTCAACCGATTCCAGATTTCGGAAGCGCTTGTTCATGCCAAGGGTGAAAGTCGTTCCTTGCTGGAATCCAAGAACTCCGCCTGCTCAAGTGTCAATCACTCTCGAAGAAGAAGCGCTTAAATCAAAGTATCGCTGTCAAACAGTAAAAGGAAACCGATGTCAATAGAAAAGTCTACATAAACATCATCTAGACAACCCATTCGCGCTTCGCTACCAACAACATCGCATGAGACCACCCTAGACAGTAACCTCCCGGACCACCTGGTCCAGGAGTTTCTGCACGTCTATCGACCTCTCCGCCTCCTTCATCGCCCTCAGCTTCTGCTGCATATCCCCCGGCAGTACCCCCTGCTCGCCCGTGGGGCCAAAAACACCCTTCTTGAATGTCTTTGCGAACGCAGCGAGCGCCTTAGCTCTGGCCATTCGCTGGCTCTCCAGCGCAACGCCAGCGTCGTCAGCAACGAGCAGACCGAACCACAGCGTGGCGAGCGGGCCAGAATCATCGCTGGGGAGGGAATCCGACGATGCGGCCTGTTTCATCAGCTCGGTAGCGCCCGTGAAGAATGCGTCCTTGGCGATGGATATGGCCTGTTTCGCACCCTCGAGGGTGGTGGCGATCTCGCCGAGCACGGCGGATGGCTTCGATTGCATCTTTTGGCGGTTGTACGCAGTCAAGTCAGCCTTCAGTGCCGCCTCCGTGGTTCTCCGCTCCAGTTCGGTGAGCTTGTGTGCCTCACTTTCAGGAGTCAAGTATTCCGATACTAAGCCGACGACCTCAGCGTACATGTCGAGGTCATCCCGAGCGGTCGAGTACACGGCGAGGGCTTCGAAAGCATGGGGTCGGTATTCATCGTTATTCCGCTTTGCTTCTCGGATGGCAATCTTCTTGGTATGCGCTGCCCGTGTCGAGTCCGTGGTCCAGAAATTCTTGCCGTGACGGACGAAGAGAGGGTAAGCAGTCACGAGCTTTTCTTTGCCCTTGAACGTCTTGAGCGAGAGGGCCTTGTCCAACATTGGCCAGATTTTCTGCAGATGAGGATCACTGAACTGGCCATCCTTCCCTACGGCACTGCTGAGAGCAGTGATCATAGAAGCGATCGTCAGAGCTGCACCGTGTTGCAGTGCCCACTTTGAGGTGTCCAGGCCTTTCGCTACGAAATCTAGGATCTCGTCGACAAATCGCTTGACGGTGTGGCTTCCTCCGGCATGTTGCTTCCAGACCTCTTCAAACTCCTCGGACACATAATCGTCGGTGTCATGTTTGGCCAGGTAAGCAAATGGAAGGAGGCGAGACTCGAGGTCTCCGAATGCATCAGGAGATACTTTGGCTATGGCAAGAACAGCGTCTGCGATCTTCTGCCGTCGCGCATCATCTTCGGCAGCAAAGTATAGGTTAGTAAGACGTAAAGTGAAGCGATCGCGCGTCTCGGGAGAGGCGGATCTTAGTAGGTACGCAGCACTTTTTGCGTAAGCCTTGTTCGCCTCATGGTTTCGATCGAGGACATGCGTCTCCATGCTCTTCATGAACATGGCGTTGTACGGGGGTAGAAGAATGCTATGTCGAAGGGCTAAGGTGCTAAAAACCTCACTGCAGCCGATCTTGGTCTGCAAACCAAGTGCTGACTTCGTAGTTGCGACAAGTTGCGGAGCCAGGTCCTTCATAACTTCCTCATCCGTGAAGCGAAGACAGTTGACAATGCATTCGAACATTGGTGATCGCGTGGCGGCGTTACTGCGCGCCCTGTCGAACTCTTCGCGGTCATCTTCGCTCACTCGTTGATAGTGATAGTTGATTTGCTCGGGCTCGATGGTGGAAAGCAGTCCAAGAAAATGGATTATGATCGTAGGGCTGAAAGGCTTCAGCGCGTCGCCACCATTCTTGACAGCGTCGAGAATTGTTTTGATCGACATGTACTTGACCTCATCCACTGAGTTCTCGATGCCCTTGTCGGATAACAGAAAGGGGAGAACTTGAGTAATCATCGCTCTAGCTGAGCCAGAGGAGTTATTCTCTTGAAGCTGGGTCACCAACGTCTTCGACAGAGCCATGCACAACTTCAATGCAGCGGATCTGACGGAGCTCTTCTGGTCATCCAGTACTCTCAGCGTAACCCGCCAGATATCAGTGTAGTACTTCTCGTACTTTGGAAAAGGCTGGCCATAGGTGAGTTCCGCAATGGCGGCACAACTCGCCTCTCTGACACGCCATTCCTTGCCATCCAGAATGCTCTTCAGCAAGTCATTCATGATGTCATCGAAATGCTTGTCCATCACAGCCGTCTGGTCCTTTACAACAGCCTTCCAGATATCATCCATCGATCTTCTGACATTCGAGTTGGGATCGAAGCGATAACGGTAAAGCTTTGGGTAGATATTGGGGTCGAGTTCTGCGTCCGAGAGGATATTACTCAACCCAAACCGACCGAACGCAGATCGAGCAGTCCAGGTAGCAGCATTGGTCGCAAGGGCCATGAACTTGTAGATGAGGCTTTGATCGCCCACCTCGTTGGCCAGATTGATGATATCCTTGTACGAGGTTACGGATTTGCCCTCCCCGGTCGGTAGAGCTCCCGCGTCAAAAAGCTCCGTTTCATCATCGACCTTCAGCTGGGTCTTATTGCCTGTGAAGCTCGCAACAAGGTCTTTGACGAGATCGCCCTTCAGAGACTCGTCGCCTTTCTCGTAAACCAAAGAAAGACCCCGAGATGCAGTTTCTTGGACCAGCTCATCGCGAGCAGTCAGCAGTCGCATGAAGGCAACTTGACACTCGCGAAGGCGTGATTGGACATCAGGCAGATCTGAGCAAAACTGAATGACGCAGAAAAGCCAAATCCCTGATGCTTTCAATAGCGATGGCTTCGTGGTCTTGCAGTCGTTGATGAGTTTGTCTAGAGTCGCGTTGACCCGGAGGGCTCTTTTGCCAAGACTTTCAGCTGGTCCGACCAGTTCAACATCAATACCAAGCTGGACAGCCGAGGAGTCCCATCGAGCTATGGCAGCCGCGATCGCTTCACCAGTAGCAAAATGAACTTCAGTTCTCTTGATCTCGAAAAGACTAAACAACTTGTTCATGATCTTTGCCACGGGGCTTGTTTCGTCCCCTGACGCGTCCGCCGCGGAGGGAACTGCCAGTCTTCCAAGGGCAGTAATCGCCTTCTCGTTACCTGTAGCAGCGAGCTTGGCAAGTGAATCGACGGTCTTCTCCAGCTCCTCGTCTTGTTGCGGAAAACCGAGATCAGCAGTCCACAACTGAGCCATGGAATCTAGAGCGGCAGTTGTGACGCCCGAATCTGTCTTTTGCAACGCGGAGGTGAAGCGCTTATAAAGAAATTGGACATGGTCGGACGTGTCTTGGGGTGTGACCTTGCCGTAGTACGAAGCCCGAGAAATATAGCTTCCCAGGCAAAGGAGTGAGCCTTGGTATTCCGCAGACTGGGAAGCCAACGGATCCGGACAAGACTCGAGGAATTGCCGTAGTTGAGCGGTATAGGCGGGCGCTTGACTACTCCAAGGCGCAATAATCCCGAAGGCTTTGGAAGCCAATTGCCGCACTTTCTGATTATTCGACTTGATCACTGGCAACAGCTCGCGTGTTCTTCCGGATATGGGCTTAATTATAGCCTCTGCTGGTGAAAACGATAGTATCTCGGCCAAGCAGCTGACACTTTCTTCAGAGCCGATGTCAGGGTGGTCTCGAAGTCCATCAAATGCTGCATTGAGAAGCTTGAGGAGGGATCTGTGATGTAGCGTCGTGAAGTAGTCTCTGAAACGGCTGCGAGTAGTAAGGTCGTTCTGCAGCCTAGTTTCGAGTTGTGCTTCCCAGTCTATCTCAACCTTGCTCTCACCCAAAACGGTGAGGAATAGTATCTGCTTGACATAGCGAATTGCCAATGGGAAAGCCTGAAGACGCTCGTTAGGGAACAGCGTATAGGTCGATGTTTGATCAACGGCCATATCATCATCGCCAAGCTCCCGAGGTGTCGCATCAAAAAACATCTCCGTCATTTCCGCCCAGTCCGGTAGCACCAGAGTGTCGTCGGGGTGCAACTTGGTGGCCCACCAAGGATCCAGTCCTCGTTGCCCCTCTTCCAAGACATCCCGACGATATGAGACACCACCGTTAAATGCGATAATGTCAATCCAGCGTGCTTTGACATTCTTGTAGGGAAGGCAGTTGTTCGCAAAGCGCGCAGCCACGTGACGCGCAGTCCGGATGCCCTGTCGTTCGGGCAAAGTCATGTACTCCAGGAGTAAGATTTCTAGGTCGCGATTTGGTGTGGCATCCGTGGATTTGAAAAGACCCATCATGCTCGATAAGGCGCTCTCGACATAAACCACGATGTCCTGACTGGGGTCGGACACAAGGGAATCGAATAGCCATTTCAGCAAGGAATCCTTGGCTTTGTGTTCGAAATTGCTACCCCTCGCCAGAGTGCCAATTGTCTCGTACGCGTTTGCGCGTAATCGCTGCTCATCCTGGTACTGCGACTGGTTTGCTCGGGTATTGGGCGCTGGCCACCCTTGCTTCAGAATGTAGTCTTTCAAGATGAGCACAAGGTTCGGGCCCATTTCATGATCCTTGGTACTGGAGTTCGTGCTGTTTCGAGCGATCCAAGTAAGGAAAGCTAGCAAGGCCTTGTGTAGTCGCAGAGCCTCGAGACCAACGACAGGGGAATCCTCTCCCAGTGTCAGATCGAAATCGTGCTTCACGGCGTCGACAACCTGCTTCTTGAAAGCACATGCAGCTACAGACTTGGTAAGTATACGGAGTACTTGCATTCTGTGTGCAGCTGGGAGGGTGTCTTGAGCTTGGTACAGGGACTTGATGACTTCCCTATTCTCAAGATCGACGCTGGATCGCTTCAAGACATCATCAGCTATCGTCGTAATGCGCGTGTCTGTAGACCCTGCTGCGTAGATTGCCGGCAGATGCCGTTCCTCGTCTGTGAAGGCACCACTTGCCAAGAAACTAATAGCTTTCATCTTACACTCGGGTAAGCTTAGACTATTGGGGGTGTTCGGTCTCCAGGCATTGGGGTTGTTGTTGCGTAGGAAGGCGACATCCCCTTTATCCAGACCTGATGGTGAAGCGGATAGTTTTCCATCCAGTTCGTCTTCAGTAGCTAGGGCCAAGTCCTGTCGTAGCAGAAACAACTTACCAAGCCAGCTTGACACATACTTGGCATCGGAAGGGTCTGGCAGTCCAATAGCTTCTGGGAGGGCAAGATCTTCTGTACTACCTCGTCCTGGGATTTTGATTTCCAGCAGCAAACGTAGGAAGATGTTGAAAAAACCTGCAGCACTGGCAGGGCTGGTTTCCTTCGAGATACCCCGGAGCACCACTGGCAGCAATTCGCGACGCCTTGCTTGGTCGAGTCGGAGAACACCTTGTTTTATAAGATTCAAATCGAGCTGCTTCACAATGGGCGAGCTTGTGCGCTTGTACTGCTCTAGGAGAGCAGCGACAGGCAAGACCACGCTGTTAACGGGGTCAGTGAAGAGAAACAGGTACCTTTAGAGGTCTATGCTCACCCAACCGGCTTGACGAAATTGCTGACACTGATGAATGCCTGGAATGCCTATTCTTATGCATAAGCGAGTTCTCATGATTGTCGGGTTTGCGCATCGTTGTTTACCGAATCTCGCACAGCCTTATGCTGGCTACCAGCCCGTTCGAGGAGGGGAGCCAGTTGGGATTGAAGAGCATCGCTCAGCTTCTTCTCATCTCCAGAGACGTTTGCGAGCTTATATCGTATTGACGACACGAGTCTCAGCTCGGCGCCCTCGTTGGATGAAGCCATGGCGGAACCGTCTCTGGGTGGATGACACGCCGACGTCCCGAGGCAGGTGGGTGGATGCTGCACGGCGCCTTGTTGGGAGCAAGTATCCTTCAATACACCTCAGGTAGGCAGGTAGCTGGGTATTCGCGGAAATCGCATGGATGTTATCGTTGCACCAGAGTCGTTTCAAGGGAGTCCGACGTGGGAGTCTTGTGTGCAGCTTGTATGAGAGGGTCGTATGTTGGCGCCAGTGATGCAATCAGGAGAACAAACACATCTGCCGTATGAGCATCCGGGACGCAGGGCAAAGTAGTTACAACGGCTTCTTCACGTTTGTAGAAGTTGGCAGCGCATTTGTAGGTGGTTCGTTCTTCGCCTTCTCCAGGCCTTGTACCAGTCTAGCCAGCAGGCTGCTCACGTCAACGTCGTCGTCAATGCCAGAACCGAAAGGAACGGTGGCCGTTGGCGCACCAGCCACAGACGGGAGGATGTGGCGTACAGCAAGTAGCTCCGTCCATCTTATCTGATTGATATCTTATCGGGATACTGTATCTCCAGCTGTCTGTCCAGCTCACCACCACATGCATCAATCCGATTACCTTTCGCCTGACCGACCACGAGGTAAACATCAGCTAGATAGATGAAAGAGAGCTATCACCCTGCCTCGATTCCTCCGCACTACCTCTACATCGGACCCCGGGGGTAGCTATTTCCATTCTGCTCTCTGGGAAGTGGGACATTAGCACGGAGACTCGGTACTTCCACCACACAATCTCGGCCGTTTGTCGACCTGTTCCGACGCAGCACGTTCCTGATGCGGGTCAGAGTTGTCGCCCAGGCAGACTGACAATCTCGTCCTCTCCGCGACAAGAACGACGCCTCTTTCCAAACATAACGAGTCTATCAGCCGCAGTTCTTTCGAATAGTATTGGCCTTATTATTATGTGCAGCAAACCTAGCAAGATGCAAACGCCACTCCGCAGCCGCCTACCACGGTAGTGTACCAAGGTAGTAGAGCAGACCTATCGCTGAAGTAAGACCGCCAGGCTGCCAGGCACCAGGGTTGCTCGTTGGCGAGTCCCAACGGATGACCACATTCGGCATTCCCAATGCAAGGTCTGGTTGCCCAACGTTGCGCGGCTGACTTGTCAGATGGTGAAACGACTCAATTGATCATTGACGACTTGCAACAAGGTGACCCCATGGTCAAAAACGGCATGGCATGGCGTCGCCTATGAAGGAACGCTACCGCGGGACATTCAAACCTACATCGCTGTGACGGAAAGGAACCTATGAGGATGCGGAAGTCATCGCGATCAAACCAGTGCCTTAGTCTGGTCCAGCTCTTCTTGTCCGTCACCGGCCCAAACTTTCGCCAGAGCTTGACATCCCCCACAATAGTTTCTTTGGATGACTGCCCCCGCATTCGCAAGAATGATGCTGTACTGATGAAGCCGAATTGAGTTATACATTACATCATATCCGGTACGAGCTGGCACGCCAATTAATTGGGTAAACTTGTCGAGCCCGGGTTGAGCAAACCCTCAAGGTAGCCACCAACCTGAGCGGCCATGCAGCCATGCAGCCTGACCCCCCAGTACGAGTAATGACAAACAGCAGCTCCCATTTTTTACTTGACAACAGTTAAACACAGAAGCACAGTACCGGCACTACAATATATAGCTGCTTCAATTGATAGGATATCATATGAAGACATCCGGATGCCCCGGCTGAGCCGCTGGACAACGGAGCCGGGCTTGCCCAGTCTCAACAACTACGAGAGACGCTACCCGACGCCAGTTGTATGGTGCAGAAACCGCGCAGAGGGATGTTGAGCAATCAGGATGTGGTATCGACATCTTGATACTCTAGCTACCTGTACAGTATATACTGGTATCTCGCGTTGCATCCTTTGGGGTTCTGCCAAAACAAGGTTGCACTGTACCTGAATAGATCGGAGGCGCAAGTGGGACTCTGGATCGTCTGGCAACTTGTTCAACGACAATAACACCAACCCCTCATTTTCTGAGAAGCTTCCCGAGGTCGTGACTCGTGGCAGTGACAGCACATTGGCACTACCAAAACTCAGATTGCTATCGAGCCTATGATGTGTCTTTCCCCGTTGGTCGTCAAGGATTGATGATGCCTTCATACGACCAAGCCACATCGAACTCTGATAAGTTGTACTGTAAGTACTGTACTCATGTGTCGTCCTCTTGCCGGCAGTGCATCGGGTTTCATTAGCGGGCCAAGCGGCTACTCACATGCGCGTAATTGCGCGAGCATAGGACGAGGCAAGGGGGTGGATTTGCTGGTCAAACGCGATGATACAGGGGAAGTTCCCTCCGAGAATCTAGAAATGTCCTCGTCCCGGACCGAGCTGAGAGTCAGTCCGGTCAACATTGGAGAGCTTGTTGAGACACGATGATCTCATCATCGAAGCCCATTTGAGAGTCCCAGGAACAATCCACTGCGCGATGCCAAATCGTCGAGAGCTGTTTACGCTCCAGCGCCGTATGCCATTCTCGTGGCTCACCGGCTGTCGCAAAGTAGGAGTGCTGCCGATACTGTACTTTGTGGACGGCGCACGGCGGTCGTTTGTCAATCTGCCCCGAAGGACCATGGGACAGGGGTCGTGCAAATCCTCGCATTTCCCGGGGCTGAGCGTCATGCTTTGATTCGCGATCCCGACCCAGATTCGCGTTGGCCTTGTCCAACACGTGGAAGAAAAATCAACCTGCGAATGCGATTGCACATGCAGAGTGCAAGACCGGCGAAGCAAATGCCCTCTCGTTGGACATTGATTCATAGCTACCCCCATCCATTGGAACAAGTCAAAGCAGGAATCTACATCTAATATCTCTCGCATAGTGCAAGAAGTAAGTTTCTTGGACTGTGGTTTGGGATCCTGCTGTCCTCCCGTTCGGCTATGGCCACCGCACAAGTGAACCTTGAACCAACCGCAGGACAGCAGCTCGTGAAATTGCTCGGGCGCACAGGAAGAGGTACAGAACCCGAACCGAGCCATTGGATGGATAGCCGGCCGAGTGAATGCATATCACCAAATTGTCGGGGTTTGAAGAAACCTGGTACTCGTTTCGAAACGAGACCTGCAGAGAAACGGGGAGATGGACCACCCGGACGCGGATGGGACCGATGGGTTGCCGCAAGGCGAGGCAAAAAAGCAAACAGCCAGGTGGTATCCTATTCCACCACTCGTCCTTTGCTGTCGCGAGGACTTTGGAATCGAGTGCTTCTTCTGATCAATCCTTGATGACAGGCAGAATGCCATGCCATCATTGGTCTAATATCTAATAATAAACAGGATGGGATTAGAAGTCAGCTGAAGCCCTGCCGATGTCGTCGACCGTGGATATTATCGAAGCCGAGCATATAGGACGTGTCCTACCAATGAACGACAGATTTCGTAGAGAAGCCCTGTCGTCTGGCCGGAGCTGAATATGGCTGTCTGGGAGCCCAAGGCAGAGGCAGAGGCAGATAGATATCCGATCGGTACTGCATATACTTGCTTCTCAACGATTCCACGTCCTGACGGCTCAACTTCTTGACTATCAATTCAAGACCGGGGATAGGCTATGAGCACAGAAATAATGTAAAGTCAAACTGACACCAAGACTAGAGACACACCATTACTAGTGTGGCCCGTTGGACATTGTGTGGCCACCAGGGCATCCATGGCTCGCACTCTTGAGAGCTGTCGCCCTGTCCCTTTCATCAATCTGCGGGCAGTCTTGCTATGCTATCCCTGCCGTGGATCAACCAGCTACCGGTACTAGCTATCTCAATGCAGCACCCGTGTGGTCGGTAGCATGTCGCCTTCACCGGACACACATGCTTTTACACATGACGGGAGTTATTAATGAATGAGGAGGTTGGTTCTCTCTGCCCTCGTGTCTGGGAGAGATGGTATCAGAAGCCTTGACTACCACCTCAACATTGAACACAGCCCCGACTGAACTCAAGAAGTACATGTACTCTACCAGCTTCCACAGTGCTGGAAAGATCAGGGCTTGGAGGAGATATTTCTACAGGTATCTCAGGTTGTGGCAACACATCAATACGTGTACATTTACGTACCCATTACCTTACCTTACCTACCTATACTTGTTACCTCAGGTATCTTACATAGTACCCGACAGTATCTGAGTGAGATGCACGGCGCCGTCGGTTTCTGGCTTCGGGTTAGGCAAGCTGCTAGTGAGGCTAGCCAACGTTAATAGTGGCACCTCTTGAGAATTTTGAATGTTTTAAAGTTGGAAGCTGCGGCAAGCATCCATAGCAAGGCCAAGCTGCCAGTGCAGGGCTAGAGCTCTGAGTTGGGGCTGTGCCAGGCCACTGGCTACCCGCTGGCCCTGGGAACATTTGAAGCTTCCACTGAAGCTTGTGTGTTGCAACATACTCACTTCCAATTCAACTTGTGAGCAGCCCTGAAGCAGAATGCTGAATGAAGGTGAGGTGTGTGTGCACATGTGCCTGGTAGGAAGGAAGTTATTTTTGAGCTGCAATAAACTTTCCTGACAACTTGTGAGAAGTACCATACCTACCTACCTGCTGGCAAGCTCCACCCTGTCTGCCTGTCTGCCTGCCCGTCATCGGCCCTAGTCGGACTGCATGTGTTCAATGGAAGTAGCTCTTGCCCTTCAGCGCCTCCGTCTCCACCTCCAGCGCACCTCCCAGTGGTCCAAGGCGGCCCAAGGCACGTCGGCAGGGGGCCCCCCATTGGAAAGCACAAGCCCAATTCAGCCCAAGCCAGTTCCCCCAATGCCCATCCACATGCATCTCTTTCCACATGCACCCGCGCTACAGTCTACAGCCTGGACAGCTCACCCTCCCTCCCACTCTAGTCGTCTCTCCCACTCCCACAACATCCACTTTGACACCACGCGCAAACCCAAAAATCTGTCTGCTTCTGTGTTTCTTGCTCGTCGTGTGTTTTATTCACTTCTGTTCCCTCTCTCGCCCTCCGCTCTGTTTTCTTTCCTCTTCCTCTCTTCCCCCAACCCTAATTCCCAACGGAACACCCTCAGTCTGTCTCTTCCATAAGTCCAGCCCGTCTGCGCCTCGAATTCGTTGGTTGCGTGCCTTCTGCCACCTCATCCTTTCGTGCCCGTTGATTTTGTGTGTCTTGTGTGCGGCCTCCTGGTACGGTACCTTGCCCTTCCTCATCAATTCACATCATCGCGCAGAGAGTCTGAAAGGTCCACTGCGGGTTTTCTTTCCGAGTTATTACGGTCCACCAGCAATTCTTGCGACACATCGAAAGCTCTGGAAGTCAACTTCACCTGTCCCTCTGTCGGTTTACCCAAGCAAGAACACCAATCCTCGTCATACTCGGCTTCACTGGAGTTCGTCACGGCTTTGCGTCTCTGCTGCTTTAACTCTCTGGTCCAATTGGTGCCCAAAAGTAAGTCGCGTCTTTCTTTGACTGTCTACTCTTGCACATTTGTGCACTCCAGCGTTCGAGCTCCAACCCGACCTTCCGGGCCACTGCCTGCTGCCTGCTGCCAATGGAGCTGTGGTCCTCGGTGGAAGCTAGCTCTACGTGCTGCCGGGGCGTGGTGGTTGACACCGAAACTTCACCTGTGCGGCTACCTATATGATCGACCTCGATCCCAAACCCCGAGAAGCTGCGTCATCGAGCCCCAGGTCGCCGACTCCCGGGTACAGAACAGCCAGTTGGATCACCAAGGCCTACTCAGCACGGTCAACTTCCGATCATATTGACGGTACGGCGGCATGGTTCTCTCATGATTGTCCCCTCAATGCCCCGCGTCGCTCAACACCTGGCTGCTAGAGGGCACTCTCGGTCGGCTCGAGCTCTAGAAAATATTTCGACGATCAGCCCCACTCGACCAATTCCCGACGACCGAGCTCCCGATCACCAACTTGCTATGCTGGTGCAATGGAAGAAATATAGGCGGAGACCAGCTGTGCAGCACCTCGAGCAATCCCTCCAGCAATTGGATAACAATCGGTCTCAACTCAATGGAGTGACAATCTCCTACGGGTGTCTGCCGTTCACACGTGCAATCTCATCTGCTGTGGTGGAGCTGGACATCGACAAGGCAACATCGAAACCAGACCCCTTGAATCACACGTCAAGACCTGAAGTATCTGGCCGAGCCTGCAGCGTTGTCCTGACAATCCGGTGGAGTCTTGCCACGCTGCACATGGTTGGAGGGGATGATCACAAGCTGCGGACGACAGAAGTCTGACGCCATTCCTACTTGTTGGGGGCGTTGTCCCCAGTGACCACGAGGCTTCTCGTATTGCGACTTTCTGCACAATCTCTGCGTCTGCGCCACCAGGAGCTGGTCTGCTCAAGTCTTCAGGTTGAACAGTTGATGTGGCCTGGCTTCAGAAACGGTTGGACGCTGGGATCTCAGCTGTGCCGACACTGCTTTCTTGCCATCGGAACCTAGGAGGGCAGGAGTACGTCTGGAGTACCAGGCCACAAAGTGTGCATGGACTGGCTGCACACACCAACCTTCCGCTATAGGATTCCTCCGGCAATGTCTCGCTCCCCATATGCATGCCGGGGTTCTATGAGGCACTCGACAACGATGGGCCCACGCCTCACATCAAAGACATCAGGCAACTGAACATGATTCAACACCCCAGCATTCTATTGCGAGTTCAGAGATGCAGCATCCCAAGCCTGTCTACTTCCATCGTCGTTTGAGTGAACGCAAGATGGATGATCTTTCATCGGCGCCAGCGAACCCGTTTTGCATCCTTTGGACTTCATACAGATGGGCTGCCATTCAGTGCCAGAATACCACCTCAAGCTGGCCTCTCACGACTGGCCTCTTTCCATGAGTCTCGTCTTTCTACACCAGACTCACAGTTTGTCTTCGCCGGTGATGTCACTTCGCGGGTCAATATGCATTATCATGCTTCATCCTGAGCTGTGGTCTGGGCGACAATAGTGCTTTGAAGCAGCTACTGCAAGGGTCATCCGAGTCACGCTTTTGTGACTGCATCCTTTGCAGCCTGTGAAAATCACAACGACCACTACGGAGCTCGAACGTTGGAAGATGCCCCTAATCACTATCATTGACTCCTTTGTGCTTGGTGTGCTTACATACACTTCAGGTTCCGGAATACTGTCACATCATCATTAGGCTGTGTCCCGAATCAGCCTACCGTTCTCAGCTGTCGGCCTTTGCATTCTGTTCTGCATTACGGTCACAACTTTAGGGCGTCGGCGTTATTGCTGGTCAGTGGTTTACAAGATCTGGATATCAGTCCATTTTGTCTGTTTCCGTAAGTGGACAATTCTACTTGACTTGTGGCATTGATTCATCCTTCAATACACACTGCCCACCTCTCCACACTACCTGGCTCTACATCGCGGTCGGACCCTTGCGATATGGACCGGCACGTTGCTTGCAACCTCGACATTATCAGACGCAACGCTTCAGCCCTCGTTCTTGTGTCACCACGGAGGCTTAGACATTGTGAACTCTGTCCGTGGGCCTGGCAAATCCTGGTACCGACCCACCATGCTGGTTCTCTCCGAAGCATACAGGTTAACCGACGGCCTTTGGGGCCCCACGCACACTCTGTTCCTCTCATCGGTTGCGCATTGCCCTGTTGTCGGAGACAGCTATGGTTCAGAGAAGTCGCACCAGTGGTGTTGTGGATTCACAATGTTTATGGAGGCTGAATGTGCTTCGCTTGAGGTCATGCGTGTTCCTCAATAGGACGCTTTCAGCATGTACCGAGAGCGCTCACATGGCACATCATCTCATGGGCTTGTCTTTCTGCCGAATCCTATGCACCGGAGAGGACCATCATCTCCAGTCAGAGGCACCAACTTGACGGCTCATCTCATCCCTTTGTATGGCTTATTGGCATACATATATATGTGTCACCAACCACTTCAATAACCAAGCGCTTCCAGTCTGGCCATCAGGGGTAACCATCAACACCTATCGAGACTGGTACGGCCCTGGAACTTCTCTACCCAATCGACGCTTCCCAGCTACTCGATTACACTTCGCAAGCACTGGCCCTCAAAGCACAGGTCCTGGGCTTGTCGCCAACGCTTTTTTTCCTGGCTGCCATGTCGCCGACGAGGACCACACTCATGGGCCCTGTGGGCTACCCATCAGCGGCACTGTGGAACCGGCAACTCTGTTATGCCTTGACGTCATGCTTGCTAGAAAGTTCTCAAGCCCTCCGTCAAGCCTCATCGCCGATGATTTTGTCGAGCACATCGCCGATGATCCTATCGAGCACATTGCCAATGTTCTTGTCAAGCAACAGCACACCCTTGAATTTAGCCATTCCGAGTTCAGTAGTGTGCTAACTATACATTGTTCTCCCAGACAAAGGTTCCTTCGTCTCATCGACAGCAGCACCAGTGTACTGCCTCGCAGCCCGTATCAGAGCTCTTTCTGGTACGTGTATTCCGACTGGCCTTCCTGTGGCCCACAGGCAGTCGCCCTCCAGCATTGTGATACTCACGCTGGATGCCTGTTGCCTTGCACGCTTCAGGACTAGCGCGATCCATTGTCCGGCCCATTTCCATCACCCATTGTCCTCAATCCTACTGTGTCAATGCACCCATTGTTCTACTGCTTGCTCCACCTTACATATATCTCACAGCTGCGCCACAATCTCTTCAGCCTCTCCATCTCCACCTTCTCCTTCACTGGCTCTGCTTCCAATTCTAACTGCTGCGCCACAGTCTCAACCTCCCTCTGGAATCACCTTCTCCTTCACAAGGTAAGCTTTCTCCTACTTTGTCCCAGCACACTCATTTCCCATGCACTATGAGTTTCATACGCTCTTGTACACTCTTCCGGAGTCGAGTTGTGTGATGTCCTCTTGCTGCACCCCAGCTTGGTGTGCTCCTTCCTGATCTACCCCCACGCACTTTCCCAGATGCACCAGAACTTGCCCCCCTCGGTGTTCTTGCCAAAGGCCCAAAGATTTACTATCCATCAAGTCACCACTGCACCTTCTCTGTCCTCTCTACCAAAACCACTACACTTCGCGTCTCCAGCAACTTGAGCTTGCTGACTTCTGACCTCTAGGCTTTGAGCTGCTCCTCCTCCAACTGAACTGACCAGCTGAATATTGTGAGTATCCTCCTTCTGTATATCCTTCTTCTGCATCCCAGATCTTCCACTTGGCAGTTCAACTGCCTTCAACACTGCCTGCAAGACTGCTTCTCTCAACGGACTGCTTTTCCCAACAGACTGCCTTTCCCCAATCTTCCTCATACTCCTACTCATTTGGATGCGCAAGATTGGGTCCCTTGAGGAACGGGATTTTACTTTCACTGCTCTCCACTTTCCGAACTCTGTCCTTTTTTCTGCTCAAAATTACACATACGCTTCTGTGCCCTAATCAGCTCACCCGATCTGGTTAAGCGCAATTCTTTAGAGGCAGCCGCGAAGAACCTTGCCGGCTATCACCTCTCCTCCTCCAACCTTCTGATCACGCACAATACTTTGGAACCAGTCGCGAACAGTCTTGCAGACTGTTACCTTTGCTTCCTCCACCAAGTCCATATTTCCCACACCACCCACTGGACACCTGCATACCCTCTTCTCGCGCACCAACCATAGCACTCTCTTCCTAACCTTGCGCATACAGGCCCTCATGGACAACTTCAGCCCATACAACGGCCAGCCTCCCTCGAACGGCTCGGGCTCTCAGGTCGACGCCGGACCCCAAGGTGCACTTGGAGTTGCGGGCGCCGGTCTTGCAATGGCTCCTACCAACGGACAAGCTGGTGGCGACACGAGCAATACGTACACAGGCGATTCTGCCCGCCAGACGCTGTGGTAAGAATCATCCTACCTCACGTACCTCACCTACCTCACTTACCTCATCTACCTCACTTCTCTCGCTATGCATACAGTACTCCGTACTTAACATATCTACAGGATGGGCGAGCTTGCTGGATGGATGGATGAGGGTTTTATTCGAACCGTTTTCACTTCCACGATGAACGAGAACGTACAGGTCAAAATCATTCGAGACCGTCACTCTGGGTAAGGAGCGTCGCGGCATCCAATCTTTTACACTAACTCTATCCACGATACTACCTCATCTTACTCGTCAAGGGCCTGACTAATGCAAATACGATAGTAACGCCGGCTACTGCTTCGTCGAATTTGGCAACGCCGACGCAGCTCAGAAGGCTTTGCAGCTCAACGGAACTCCTGTGCCCAACACCGATCGCGTCTTCCGATTGAATTGGGCATCAGGCGGTGGTCTCGTTGACCGCCGCGACGACCGCAGCCCGGAGTACTCTATCTTCGTCGGCGACCTGGGACATGAAGTTAATGAATATGTCCTTGTCTCCCTCTTTCAGGGCAAGTACCCGTCTTGCAAGTCTGCTAAGATTATGACCGACCAGCAGACCGGGCAATCGCGCGGATATGGGTTCGTACGGTTCTCCGACGAACAGGACCAGCAGCGAGCCCTCAGCGAAATGCAGGGAGTATATTGCGGCAACCGACCGATGCGTGTTTCGCCGGCCACTCCTAAGAACCGGTATGAATGATATGCTTCCATCACCAGACGCACTATTAATTACCAAACAGTGGACACCAAGGTCCCCAATACAACAACCAGTTTGGTGGACAGCCGCAGATGATGCAGCCTCCTCCGGTCCCACACCATGGCGGCATGGGCGGTGCTATGGGTGGTGCTATGGGTGGTGCTATGGGTGGTGCCCAATGGATGCCCCCGCAACAGCCTGGGTATGGCTATCAGCAGCCTCAGCCCCAGCCCCAGCAGCAGCAACAGGCATTCAACCCCATGACGATGAATCAATTCACTGATCCGAACAATACCACCGTCTTCGTCGGTGGTCTCTCGGGTTACGTAACCGAGGACGAGCTTCGCTCCTTCTTCCAGGGTTTCGGCGAAATTACCTACGTCAAGATTCCTCCCGGAAAGGGCTGTGGCTTCGTTCAGTTCGTCCACCGACACGCTGCCGAAATGGCAATCAATCAAATGCAGGGCTATCCGATTGGAAACTCCCGCGTTCGCTTGTCATGGGGAAGATCTCAGAACAACTCTGGTGTAGGTACTCCTTACCGTCCTGCACCTCCGCCTCCTCACTATTTCCCTCCCGGCCCTCCTGGACCTCCTGGACCCACTGGTCCTCCTGGTCCTGGGCCTTTTGGTGGTCCTGGTTTTGGCGCTGGTGGTCCCCCTGGTGGACTTGGACCTCAGGTATGATCCTATGTATTGCCGCATTCAGTGTGATGGACAAGGCTAACTTGGTCATGAACAGTAATTCCCATCTCACCGAATCTGCATACCGGCGTCTTGCGTTTCTGGCGTTCCGGCCTAGTCGTTTGACTCATGCGTCGACATTTTCGGTTTGAGGATTTGGCGCCTTTCCCCTCGGATTCCCATTTACATGGCCTCTACCAGCACCGGCGGACCAGCGATGGATCTGCAGCATGTTGCCCGTTACCTTTGCTCAACACCAATGCTCTCAGCGATCTTGAGACTCGGCAATTATGAGACTCAGCGATCTTGAGACAGCGAAGCTATGCCAAAATCAGATTCGGCCATTCATTTCGGGGCATGAGACACGAATGGCAGCTTTCACCTCAAGACCTTTCAGTCCTCGTCACCACAAACCATCACTGCCTACCCGTCACCAATCCATTGCGTTGCCTTTCATGTCATTTGCACGAAAAGCTGGCGCTCCGGACTGGACTACGATTTTACGGCACGACTATCTCAGATGACGATTTCATATTCTTTCGACCCAACAAACCGCGACCGATATCTTTCCCACTACGATCTTACGGCATATAGTTCAGATGTTCCGGCAGTTTGGCGATGCGACTGCTTTCATGCGATTGCTTCCCGTCCTCATGCTCCTTGAACTTCTGGACTCTGCTGTTCGTCACGGAAGTTGCACACCCGTCGGCTCGTTTCCACGTTGGCGCCCGTTCCTCGCGCAAGATACCCTTTCCCTGACGCCTACGTATCAATTTGGAGGTCTTTTTCGGATGCCCTCGGTTTCGGAGCTGGTGGAGTGAGTGGGATGGTTCATATGCTTGGACTGGTGTCGGTGGCATTTCTTCGACTTCGCGTACGCACGCTTGTCCTGCGGTCGGTCTCTTTCTAGTCAATACATTGCGTTTCAATATTCTGATTACTGCTTGCGTGACGATGCTGTGCTTCTTGATTTTGCTTGCGATACCCTCAGATTTCAACGTCATCCGTGTATATGCCGTTACCATGATTTCTTCATGCATCTGTATGCTACATTGTATGCCTGCCTAACACATACTGGCAAATACGCTACTGCAGGTGTAGGGAATCTCGACTTACCGCTCGCCAACGCTAATATTGAAACACTATAGTCGCTACATTGAGCTGTGACTTCTTTACGGAAGCTACAGCGCAATTTGGGGGGAAATGTCTCCATACTGATTTCGCTGGTACGAGTATGATTCAGCAGTCCGCGAGCAGGAACGGGAGTGTGCACGAAGGAAGCAGTCTGGAGGCGAAAATGAGGGAGCAGGGATAGCAGCAATGGGTATTGGCATACGAGCTGTTTTATAGTGTTCTCTGTGTCTGTCTCGCTGTGCTACTGGGTCACTGCGCATATCACCTGCGTTTTCGATATCATGTGTATCGTACATAGGTACGACTCTTACGCTGTGGCATCGTGAACTGAACGTGCATCTGGTCTAGGGATATCTCGAGATATTGGTCGCTTGTGGTATGATGCTGAGACTCGACGGGTGTGTGCACTCCTAAGGAAGAAAGTATTCGAAAACTGTGACTGCTACAAGCTGGCAGGTGACGCAGGATGGATTGCTTTTGGTTCGGAGGTACGAAGGGCCTCACGGTAGGTATCTGCGGGTGTGATATCATCGATGGGTGCCCTGCAGTGGTCGAGTAAGGTAGTGCATGTCCCATGTGGGCGAGACTAGGCTTAGGGTGAAGTCGTCGAGAAGCTGCCCCGAGTCCCCGTACTCCAGCGGTTGCTTGAGACACATGTGTAGCTGGAGGTCATCAGCTTGTGCGGCAAGTCAAGTGTTACCGAGACCGAGACTTTTGCTCCTCTGCACGACAGCCACCGGCGCCAAATCACGGGGACTCCGAACGTATCCGGGTAGCATATATCATAGACACAGACGGTCTCGGGAGCCCTGGCGATACCTTATTCAATATCCTCACTGACAAAATACCCATCAACCTACCTCTCTGCATAGCTCCCCACTACGCGCCTGACCTCCTCCCTCCTTCAGCACAATGAAAGACCTCGCCCTCCCCGGCCGCGAGAGGCCCGAATTCGCCCACTTCGCCCGCATCCCCTGGTGTGCAAAGCTCATCGCCGACCCGGCCGTCTTCATCTGGGTGCCCGCGCAGCGCCTCCAGCGCGACGCGACGCCGGATAAACTATTCGGGCGCACGCTGCACACGCCCGACACCATCTCGGCGTTCTTGTGCTTCCATGAGCCGCTGTCCATTCCCACGGCGCCCTCGGAACCTCCTTCGGGTTCTTCGAGTCGCTCTGATTCGGCAGACGGAAACGTTCAGGCTCAGGCTGAGACCCCAGCGGCACCGGCACCGGCACCGGCTCTCGTCAAGGAAGCCAAGTTCCTCCTGACCCTGCAGCCGGGCCTCTGCGGCTTCGATGGGGTGCTGCACGGCGGTATCGCGGCGTCCGTATTCGACAGCTGCTGCGCACTGTTGGGGTACATCAACATCATGCACAAATTACTGCCCCCGCTCGTCTACACTACGCAGTATTTGCATGTCGACTACGCGCGATTGGTGCGCCTGCCGCAGACAGTGCTCGTCGAGGCGTGCATCGTGGAGAGCTGCGGCGACGACCACGTGCTGGAGGCGGTGATGCGCGACGCCGGGGGGACGGCGCTGGCGAGTGCGCGGACGCGGTTTTGTGGGAGGACGAGGAGGGGGTTGACGGCGCAGCTTTAGGGGTTGGGTTGGGTTGGGGGGATGGGGATGGGGACTTGGGATGTACCATTAGGCGAGAGAAGGTGTAGATGAGATGCCTTCGTCGTGGAGTATATAACTAAACTGCTGTACTTGCGAGGCACAAGACTGTGGGAGGAAGAAGCGGGCAGTACTCCACCTGATAGACGCATGACGAATCGAGTTGGGACTGCTTTTCCCATGTGCTTTCAAAGCACCACAATCAGGTTTTTTGATCATTGTTCAATACGCGGACATAGACTTACAAGGCAGACGGTGGGCTCGTGGTTGTTCTCTTCATGGGGCTCCAGAGACATGATCGCTCACCCCAGCTTCCATTGCCTGGGTTCCATACGTCAACATGAATGTCGGACAGCCGACCCTGAAGCAGGACACAGACCGACCTAATGGGCAGCGACCCCATCAATCCAATCAATTCGACCAATCCGAAAAACTTGTCAAGCTTAAGTAAAGCAAGTCTAACGTACCTTGTTGACTTGGTAAAAAATTTTTAACCTTGACTTGATTAGGCTTGAGCACGGGCTACCGGATATAAGATTTTCCGCTCGGAGTAAAAGTTTTGTCTATCGAAAGTTCGAACTCTTAACCTCCGAAGGATTTTAAAATTGACTTAATTAATATCAAGTCTATAAGAAGTAGGCTTAACTTGCAAGTTTAAGAAAAACCTCGAATTAATCAAGTTAAGTCAAGTTAAGCCTCAAGTCAATTCGGCTTGGATTGATAGGGTCGCTGCCAATGGGGGCCATCTCCCTAGGCCTTAGACATGGAGATAGCGAAACAAGGTCAGCTTCGTCTATATACGAGTTGGTGGAGCTTGTATGGAAGGCTTGTATGTATGTCCGTGGAAGCTGGCAGCATCGTGAGCACCAGTTGATGCCCATGTAGTGTAACGCTCCCGGGCCATATGTCCAAGTTGGTGGACAGGCACCGAGATGGCGTATACGACTGCCAGACCGCCCTTGTCTAGTTTCCTATACACGAGGGCGGTACTAATAATCATACACAAAGGGGTAGAATAATGGCCGGGATATGTTGGATGCCTAAAGTTAGGGGCATGTATGGCTCCAGGGCTGGCATCGTGGACGTGTAGTTCAGCCCTGCTACCGCGCAGACGGCGGGTGCATATCCGCATGGCGTCAGCTATCACTCGGGAGGGAAGTCGCTGAAGAACCGTAGACACCTTTACAAAGATCAAGAAACGCACGTGGCTCTTGAATAAATAGTTTATAGCAAAGACTCGATGATAAGTACTCGAAATACCCTTGAGAGAACATGAGGCAAACCCGCCCGAAGTGGAAGTCCAGTAAGTGACTGTACGTCTCCTTCTCAGAACAATCACGAAGTCGCTGCCTGTTCGGCTGACATGGGATGTTCCCGCCAGGCGTACCGCGCGCTCATTGAAAGATCCAGAACCCTTGCACAGATAACCGAGTCTCTTGGTCTGAGTAAGCGACAGATGCGAGGCTAAGATGAGTTGTGATGTTGTGCCGCTTACATGCGTATGCACCTCTCGTAAGGCTGATAGGTATCTCCAGCTCGGCTCGCGCAGTCTGAAGAAGCGTACACTCGTGGGAGTCTCTGGTATCTATAAGCGGAATCATGTCGCCTTGTTTGGCTGTCTCTCCTGTGTTCCATAGGAAAGACAGAGTATCTCGAGCTTGGTCATGAGGGCTACATTCATTTCATACTTGTCGGTCCTTCTCGGCCTTACCTTGGCGCAATCCCCAGCAGCACCGGTTGTCGATGTGGACTACGCACTATATCAGGGCTACTACGACGAATATTACGATCCGAACACCTTCAAAGGGTAAGCAATCCCAGAATCACTCCTTGGAAGGCAGGTGATGTTTACGATGGCGTGGCGAGAGGCAAGTCAACCCAGGTGACCCCCGAGGTCCAAGAGGAACATCTCCATTAACACCAGGTCGGCCTGCTTCCATGGACACCAACCTGCTGACAATGTATCTGATCTTAATTATAACTGTCGTCACAGGATTCGCTATGCTGCTGCGCCCGTCGGCGAGTTACAGTGGCAACTCCCCCAAGACCCGCCAGTGAACCGAAGCGAGATCATTCCCGCAGTTGAAGATGGATATCAGTGCCCCCAATCCACGAACCAGGTCTTGTAAGTTATGCCTTCTTAAGAGCTCTTGATAGCACACTAATCAGTCGTGAAGACCCGCCGTTACCGGCGTTTCGAACGAGGACTGTCTCTCACTCAGTGTGCTTGCGCCCGTCAATGCCACAGGCCTGCCCGTGCTCGTATGGATCCGTGAGTGGTTCACTCCAACCCCAACCCCCAGAAAGCCTAGAACTGAGACCCATCACAGATGGCGGAGGTTATGGAATCGGTAGCGCTCCCCAGTATCCCCTACCGGAGCTCGTGAGGACCAACGGGAACGCATTCATCGTCGTGTCGATCCAATATCGGCTCGGTGCCTTCGGTTTCCTTTCATCAACTGAAGTTGCGAGATCGGGCGTTCTCAATGCGGGTATTCACGACATGATATTCGCCCTGAAATGGGTGCAGAGTTACATCGACCGCTTTGGTGGCGACAAAAACAGTGTGACCATTTCGGGCATCAGTGCTGGCGCAGGAGCTTCTATGTTGTTGGCCATGAGAGACGGCGGCCACCCTTCCGAGTCGTTGTTTGAGGGCAAAATTGCATCGAGCCCCTTTCTTCCAACGCAATGGTGAGTTTGGACGCTGATCACCAAGAGTGACGAATGCTACTGACACTCAAACAGGAGATACGACGGCAGTGCGCCGACAGAGGCCTACAACCGCTTCGCTGAGGCTGCTGGCTGTTCCACGGCCGATGTCGCCACCAATGGGACTGTTTTCGATTGCTTGGTAGCCACCGATTCCAGCGTCCTCCAGAACGCGAGTGACTACGTGAGTCGGACCGGCATTGTCGGCCAGTGGGCCTTCAACCCAGTCACGGACGGCACCCTGATCCGAGAGGCACCAACGCAACAACTTCCCAACGGCGGGGATATAGCAGGCACCCGGCTGCTGACCTCGAACGACATGAACGAAGGACCGCTGTTCGTCCAACTCCACGGAATCACCTCCCGCAGCGACTTCATCGCATGGCTCCAGGACATCTACCCGCTCCTCAGCGAGCAGAATGTGACCAAGGTACTCGACTTTTACGACGTGCCTGACGACGTATCTGGTACGCTGCAAAGATCCAACGGGCGGACCCCGCCCTTCTCGACGACAACATCTCAGTTCGCCGCTGGCTGGCAGCAAGCGGCGTTCAACCTGTACGCCGAGACCACGATCGTGTGCCCCAGCTACTGGATGGCAGAAGCGTGGGCTGCCAAGCGCGACTCCAAGGCGTGGAAGTACCAGTTCTCGGTGTCGCCAGGTCTGCACGGCACCGACAGCGACCCGCTGCTGAGCCCGCACGACATCACTGGCACCGGGATGAACGATGTATTCCGGACGGCCGTTCAGCGGGTCTGGGGCAACTTTGGGATGAACGGGGACCCTACTCTGGGAGTGGATGAAGTCGCTGATAATGACCAGGGCAATACGACGGCGGCGGGGACGGGCGCATGGCCGACGTGGAAGGGCAGCGCTCGCGGGAACTCGATGCTGAATCTGAACATGACGGGCGGCGTTCCCGTCTTGAATGCTGCGCCCTGCCCCGGTGTAGACTTGGCGCCTATCTCCTACGTGCCGGGCAACGGCTCGGCGCCTCCGTTGAAAGCGCTGTTCGAGATTGTTGATGCCTCGACGTGGGAGGATCGTCGGGAGGATCGGTGCAGGCTCTGGGCTGAAATGGGCTCCTGGATCAACGAGTGAAGTTGATTCGCAGCGAGTCACTGAGGATCTCAAGGCCGGGGTTGGAGATATGGGCAGCGATGCTGGATGCTGTCAAGGGATGGATGGGTCTGTGAAGCGACTTTCTCGGATCCAGAGGCCACCTAACATCAGTTCAATAAATTACAGCTATATTATCCCCAAATTGTGGATGATCTGCTACATACGACCATTGGATTAGGAGAACTTGGCATCCCGTCCGCTCTGCCTTAAATAAGCCTGATACCGCCGGATTAGTAGTTGGGTCGGTGACGACCAGCGAATCCCCGGTGTTGTATGTTTTGTCTTTTGGATTCCCCGGTGTTGTATGTTTTGTCTTTTGGATTTTTGCCTTCTGTTCACCTCTTATCAAGCCGCCAATCTGTATGGAACGACTCCTTTGACCGCTTACTTTAAGATTTGGCCGGTGGCGCTGACATGCGACGCCGATCGGACGACCATGAACTCGGCTTTTTGATGAATACCTCCGGCTAATGCTTCCCCTCACAAATCGAAGCCTTGATCAATCCAGGATTCCACGGAGTCCGGTGACATTCGATGCCAACCTGATGAGAAGTAGTCTCGCCGCGTGCCGGCGCGCTGCCACTTTCTGCTCCAAACGGGAACGTTCGCCAGCTGAGTTCAGCCAGTCAAACTATCAACGCTTCCGGAGTCCATTACAATCTCTCATCGACCTCTACGATACTTGTGCTGATGAAGAAGCACTGAACTTCGATGACCACCCAGTTGTTCACCTCGCCGGGTGCGGTCTGCAGAGCGATGTTCAAGCAATTCACGACATAATAGCCTCCATGAGTGTCAAGCAAAGACACACACAGTGGTTCACCACGGTTTCTCAATCGTACAAGAACTCTGTTAGACGCAATCGGGCATCACGACATTGCGATATGGCTGGCTCTTCGGTCCCGAAAGATGCCACCATGGGCCGGCCGCACATCCCCAATCCCGGCTCCGCGAGACAGACTGCAGAACGCCAGAGTAATAGACTTGCGTCATACGTCCGAGCCGCAGGAAATGATGCAGATGAACTATTAAATATATCAGCTGCCGGTTTCTCATGTGCATGGTGCACAGGTGCCTCATTGGAGAGAGATCTTGCTGCTGGCTCTTGTCAATGTTCTTGTTGAAGATCCGCGGACTTGGCAGACCCCGGGTCAATCAATTTACATGTATATTGGGTCTGAATTGGACTAATATGTTCGAAGCCATGATAAAAGAGATATTGTACCTAACCCTGCTCCTCGCAGGTAAGTCACCCTCGATACCACAGATTCAGAGAAATCCAGCTGACAGAACGACCTCCCAGTGGTGAGCGCCCGACCCCAGGGTCCCTACGGCGGCGAGGGCTACGGAAACAACAACGACAACAACAACAACCCCTACAGCAGCTCCAATAACCCCTACAACCCCAGCTCCAACAACGACAATGGCAACTTCGCCACCAACGCCCCCTTCGACTATGAGCGAGCGACCTACTACCGCACCTGCCACGGCATCCTAGCCGCCCTCTCCTTCGCCCTCCTCTTCCCCATCGGCTCCCTCATCATGCGCGTCTACCCCTCGCGCCACGCCTGGCTCCTGCACGCCGGCACGCAACTCATAGCCTACATGTTCTACATCCCGGCCGCGGGCCTGGGTCTCTATCTCGTGTCTACGATCCGGATCCCCTCTTCCCGCTCATCCTCCACCTCCAACACATCATACACATCCATCCTCTCCCAAGGCGGCATCGCCGCCGCCCACCCCATCATGGGCATCCTCCTCCTAGCCGCTCTCTTCCTCCAGCCCTTCCTGGGGTGGCTGCACCACCGGCGCTACAAGACCCTCCGCCGCCGGACGGCGTACTCGCACGCGCACCTGTGGCTCGGCCGCGGTGCCGTGACGCTGGGGATCGTTAACGGCGGGCTCGGGCTCCGCCTCGCGCGCGCGAATCGGAGGACCGTGGTTGCGTATTCGGTTATTGCGGGCGTTATGTGGACGCTGTGGATCACGTTCGCCGTGCTGGGGGAGGTGCGGCGGGCAAGAGCCGCGCGGGAGGCGAAGCAGAATGCCGAACCGGATTCCGAACTCGGGCTCGGCGAGGGGTCGATGCGGGCGACTGCTGGATCGAGCGGGAATGAAAGTGTCCCCGATGGCTATGGCAATAGTAACGGAATTGGTACTGGTAATGGCAGAGCGAGGGACGAAGAGCAGGGCCCAAGTCCGCCGTACGAGCTGGAGCCAGGGCCGCTATACAGGAACCCGCCGCCGGCGCCGATGGTGCAGCACCACCAGCATCCGTACGTACTACAGCAGCATGGGGACCGCGGGGATCCAGGAGATGGGTGGTCCCCACCAGCAGCAGCCTGTGAATAAGGGAACGTTTGATCGGTCGGATGTTGCGTCGTCGTATTCGTCCTTGGGCACGCATAGGGGGCAGGTAGGATACTCACTCGGCTATGGTACTACTTGATACCTCATCGTTGGTGCAACCGGAGAAGAGTGTATGTACGTGGGGATGGATGGGGATGGGGCTGCGATTACCTGTGAAATGGCTGCAAAGGAATCCACGGCGTTCGGCGTACATGAGCAGCGAGGTCTCATATCTTTTCCGACCGTCCTTTATGCTGGGGAATGAAAGGCTAGTTGCAGTATCAGATGGTGAGGGGAGCTGTAATTAGTACAGCGGTGTTGGATGGGCTTTCCTCGGGTTGGGGATACGATGGAAAAATACCCAGAAATGCGTCTTGTGATTTTGGAACTAGGTAAACTGCTCGGGTTTGCCGAAGCGAAAGGGCTAATGTCACGTCGTCGAGCATCTGCGAGTTCGTAATCAAGGACAGCATCATGGAGTCATTAATCATTAGAACATCAAAGACTAGCAAATTTTGTGTATTGCCTGAAGCATGGACTGTATGGTCCTGGGTATAATACATTGGAAAATCGCTACGTCCTACCACATGGAAGGGGCCTAGAGGGCTCCGAGGCTATTCTGAGTCACCCTAGGGCTCTCTCATTGCTTGTTACCTCGAGTGTCTCGCGTGGATACCACCCATATCTGACTGCCGTTGTCGCCAGCCAGGTGACCATGACCTGGCTGTGTCCCTGGCAGGCATCTTCTCTGGAACCGACCCGATTCCAAGCAACGGTGGGATGCGATTCGCCAATTCACATGGCACAGTCCGCGTGGCAATGGCCGTGTCATCTATAGTGCCTCTATCCTCCAACACCGGCTGAAAGATACACGATGACCATATCTACTCAAGTGCTTTGGTCTCGAATAAGTGCCTGCATCATCTCATCAGCCTGCATCGCCATGTCGATATCCGCGGCACCATACATGGTGACGGACGGGCCAGCGGCTGCAGACCGGTTCGCTGGCTCGCGCTTCACCTTCGGTGCAGCATCAGCCGCGTGCGCGGGACCAGGCAGTCCAGACTCGGTCTCGTGTCCGGGAGAGGGAGCTGAAGGGACGCCATCCGCATCCTCAGCCGCCTCGGAGTGCGAGATGCCCAGAACAGGTGCAAACATTCTGTCGCCTAGGAGTATGACGTTGTTAACTTGCTTTCGCATCTCAAGTTCCTGGGGCGACATTCTTGCCCGACGATCTACTGTTTGTCCCACTGACTGGGCGTTAGAAAGACGAAATCTCAAGAGGGCCGATACGCATACTTACCAAAAACACCCATGTAATCACGGAACACGGCGTCGAAGATCTCGGCCGTCGAGTCGATCATAGTCTGTTGGACATTTCGGCACATGCCTTGCAGCCTTGCCTTGACCGTGTCCGTGGCCTGGCGGAACATGGTAGAGCGATGACTCTCCACATGATTGCCCATTGCCAACTTCATGCGATTATACTGTCCCATTCCTCGCTCCATCGCGCATCGGTCGTAGACGTCCTGCATCACCGCACCGATGACCGGGGTGAACTCTCGACTGGCCTCGCGTTGGAGTTCGGTGATTCTAGAGCCCAGGCTGTTCGGCAACTCGTCCAGAGTCCGCATGTATGCCACAATCTGGTTGGACAAAGTGACCAGACTGCTGACATTGGTGTGGCGCTCCTCAGCACGCTTCTTCGCGGTCCGTTGGAACTCGTTCAAGTTGGCATTCGTCTGTTTGGCGAAATCCTTGAGAATTTTTGGCAGTCGACGCTGGAAGGCTCGCTCCCATCCATTCGCCAAGTTCCGAGAAATTGGGTCGAAGAGCTCCTGATTGAAATCACGCGGGCCAGACGCGCCAGAATAAACACCTTCGCGGCGAACAGTTGCCTTGTAAGTCGACCAGTACATGCCGCCCGCGGGTCGAGGCGCTCCCCAGCCGTTAGCTGTAGCCGGAGCAGCAGCGATCGCTGCGGGTATCGATGAATCGAACGACGTGTAGACTTGTTCGTCCAGTGCCTCCTCGATCGAATGGATCGCCTCCGCAACAGAGTCACGAAAGCCCTGTGCCATCAAAGTCAACTAACATACACCAAATTTGAATTTCAAACACGATCTTCCTATGAATATAGCATGAGGGAGACGCCCTTTGCTATGGAATGTGATCAGAGCTCAGGATAACATACCTGCTCCAATTGGTTAAGAAGCTTCCGCAGAAAATGCTCTTCTCGTCGCTTCTCCACGTCTGTCAAGTGAGATTCGGTACCGTTACTCGCGGACCAAAGCTTCAAGGAATTGACAAGCTGTGTCAGATCATTCAGCAGTCGGCGGCAGTGGCTAGCTCGTCCGGCCTCTGTTAGCTTCTTTGCATGCTCTTGGAGTTTGGGGACTTCTGTATCCTCGACGGACAAGAATCCATGGGCTTGGAAATCATCCTTGACGAGTCGTCCAGTGAGCTTTTGATAAGCTCGACTGCTGACGCAGAACACCGGCAAGGTACGAGCAACTTCATCATAGTCGCGGACGTCTTGATCGGGATCGAACGTTGTGTCGTCTTCCTCTGCGGCATTCTCTTGATCCAACCTGAATGTTTTAGTTAGCACAAGGTCAATTGAAATGACACAACGCCAAGGTCGACAATCGCGAAGCATTGGTGAGAGGTGAGATGCAATCTTACTCTTTGATGCCCATTGCAAAGTCCTGCTTGATAGCGCCACGGGAGTATTCGTTGCGGCCCTTGACACATACAGCCTTGATTTCTGCGAGAATTACTTCTCGCTCCTGCTGGGCAGTTTCCATGTCCTTGCGGAACCCGGCGATCTGACCATCAATGGCTCGTCTCTCTTCGCGGATCTGTCTTCGTTGGGCCTTGATCGATGCAATCATCTTTTCGACATCCTCTTCGGTGAGAGGCGTGCGATTCGGGTCTGACTGTGAGTTTTCCTTATCACTCAAGTCAAGATCCGAATCATTCATGTCATCATCCACATCAGATGAATCAAGATTCTTGCGGGTTCTCGATGGTCCTCCGGCGCGTTTGCGCTTCTTGGGATTGTCAGGGGGCGCATAGACAGTCTTGCCATCGGCAATCTTGGACTCAAGGTCTTCCCAGACATCTGTTTTGGTCTCGCAATCGTCGAGCTGGTCAGCAAGGACCAACTTGGTTTCTTTCAGGCTGGCGATTCGGTACCGAAGCGAAGCTCTCTTGTTCTCCAATCGTTCGGCTCTCTCCCATGAGTCGGAGGTTTCTTCCTCGAGGCCAAGACTTTCGGCAGCCTCGGTGATAGAGATGTCGTCAGTCTTGGAGCAGATGAAGCTGACAGCCGAGTATGTACCATCATACTTGAGCTGTCGCTTGAAAGAGTCGCCCAGCAATGACTTGGCTGTCTTATCATCGACAGCACGGTTGATCGGGGCCACAATCCATAATCCAGTGCAAGACTTCATGTAGTTGGCCGCGACAGCCGCGCGAGCAGCATTGGAGTCTTGGACACCGGGCTATCCGGTTAGCAATAAGTCTCATATGTGTGACCAGGACTGGGAAACTTACCAGGTCAACAATGACAGCGCCGGTAGAGAGGGCATTCGCCTTGGTGAAGATTCGCACCACCTTGATCAGGGGCCAGTACTCCATGGGGATATCACGCTTCTTTTCACCAATCGACTTCTCCTTGCTGTCAACATAGTGCTGCATTCGGCGGTACAGGTCTTGTGCAACCTCTTCCTTGAGCACCTTGAAACTACCTAGAACGCCGCGAACTGCAGGTTCCTCGGCAAGGCTCTTGGCATCGGCTCTGGCGAGCATTTCCTTGGTCTTTTGCGGATAGACGGCCTTGACTTTGGCGTAGGCAATGCCGGCATCACTGTCGGGGTTGGTGCAATCGCGCGAAATGTCACCGTTGCCGTCAAGAAGGTCGCTATACAAGGTCGCAAGCTCCTTGGCCCAGTCCGAGGCAGAGATGAATTCAATCTCAGCTCGGTACAGTTCGCTCGGGTCATCCGAGTAGTTGAACGAGATTTCAGTGGGCGATGCTGTACAGGCCCGCAGGCAGTTGGTGGGTAGCAGTCTAGACATCTGTTAGTACGATGCCTGGAACTGTACCTATGCCGTGGGGTGATTCAGTACCTTTCTTCGTCCAGAAGGGCGTTGATGACAGAGCTCTTGCCAGCGCCGGTATTGCCAACAACACCGACGACGGTGCGGGTGGGCTTTGCACGATCTCGTAGCTCCTGGATGGTCTTGAACCACGCGTCGACATCGGGGCTATCGAAGGTCTCCAGCGCGTTTCTTACTCTGTCGAGGAGGTGCATGCCGACAGTGACGCCCGTCTCGAGGACCTCGGGAGAATCCTGGGTGACCAGGCGCTCGAGGTAGTTGGTCTCCTCGGGTTGATTGTCTGCATCTTGGTCTGCATCTTCGTCATGGCTCGGACCCAGCTTGTCGGCACCCGCAGGCTTTGCGCTCAGAGACGGCGCATCGGGGTCGGGCTTGATGCCGCCGTTTGCGCCATTCGCGGGACGCTGCATGTACTGCTGGTAACGTGGTACATCGGACAAGGGTGAGCCTCGGTCTGGCCGTTCCGGCTTGACAAAGGCATTGTTGGCCTGGCCGGGGTCAGGCTTAACCGGTCGATGCGGGTCCATTGCGTGAATAGGCCGGTCGGCTGGGTAGCATTGGTAAGTAGCAGTTCGGAAGTGATTGGATGGTACCACAAGTGAGGAGTGGTGAGTATTTCCAGAGGTCACCGTGACAACGCCAATCGAGGACAGGTGCAGGGTTGGTGACCACGTCAGTAGATGCGCGACCGAGAAAGCGCAGTGCCAGAATCGATTTTTGACGATGCAAATGTGAATGCACGAGCATGGGTTTGACTGTAGTTGTGAGGGAGTGGAAGTGTACCGGCGGGTGAAACAAATAATGAGAGAAGGTGCGCGCAGGTGAAGAAGGAGTGAATATGGCCCTTGCCGTCTGGAGGAAGGACCTGTGCGAGCCAAGGGGAGGTGATCCTCGTGGCCCGAAACGCAGACGATTTGGTTGCCGTCGAGAAAGCTGTTCCCTCTCCCTGTGCCGAGTATGGATTATTCACTAGCTTGGAGCGCGTTCCCAGCCCGGCTTTCCGGGGATGTGATGTGGGGATCTCGTGACGCGTCTAAGACGCGCCGTTTTCTAATTTCTCTTTAGCTGAGATGGAGGGGCAGTGGGGTTTCTTAGGTGCTAGTTGACGTCAGTGCACTTACCGCCGCTAATGGAACTTAATAAGTTATCGCCCCTATCTACGGCTGCCCGTAGCATTCAGGGTTGGCAGTCAGGCAGTATACCTCAGGCATCAGGTTGGCAAGCCTGTAATCAGGAAATGAATGGAAATCTCATTGGAAAAAGAAAATGGCCAGTGATATGTGGATATGGTGCATGCCCGGCAAACGACGTTGTCATTATCACACACGCCTGGTCGAGCAAGCAAAAAGCTCCCTTCCTTCACCTCGTGCCCCTTTGACGTCAAAATAGCAGGATACTTAAACTCTTGCTAGGTATACTCAAATAGCATCAACGGTAACTTGTGGAAAGTCCATTCTCTCTTAGTACCAGCAACTAAAAAAATGGGTACATGGCCTATTGCTGCATCTTTTAGCAGATACAGCAGGTGCGCAGATGCAGGCAAGGAGTCGATATCTGGTGATCTACCAGGCCTGGACATAAGAATGTCCCTTGTCATGAAAGGGGCACACCGAGGAAGATTCGATACACGAGTTATGCCAATCATCAATCCCCTCTGATGTTATCTGAATTATGTTGTTCTACGTCTGCAAGTGGAAGAGAGCTGTGCCGAGGAATAGGGTTACCTTCCATTATGTATTCCTCGAGGACTGTATGGCGAAATATGGTAATACTCGCACGCCTTCTCACACTCCTGCGATCATAGAAGATTTATGACTGGCTAACAAATTGTCCAACTTTTCCGGCTTGTCGTCATCCCCCACCAACGGCAGCCACATGACGCCAGCCATTAGGTACAAAGACGTGGTCTTGACCATGTCGCCATCGGCTGATACACAAGGTGGCCCTCATGCAGCAGTAGCAAGACACCACCATGTCGCCATCACAGTCGCATTCCGCTACCAGATCTGAAGTCCATCCCAGAGCAGCAATGACGGATGAAAAAGCTCGATCCGTGCCTGATCTCGCCCCCTCATTCGCACACAGCCCGTCTATATCCGATCCAATGTGACTGCATGCGTTGGCACAACAGCGCAACGCTACGACGCTGTAAAGCAGACCTTCCCGTTCCGAAGGGAACATGGCAAAACAGGAGTGTCGTGAATACAGCCAATATGGGAGTCGTCGCCGTTCCCAGTGGCTGTGACTAACAGATTCACACGTTGTATTTACCCGGTCCAGTGATTCTGCCCACCATGATCTCACGACGATCCGCATTGGATCTCGCATGCTCCCCGCAATCATCCGGCCCCTGCAGCAGAATGCTTGTTTCCTCCCTAAGATGGAGTATGCATGTGCTGCGACTCTAGCCGCGCGTTCTGGAGTGGCCAAGCCGCTTCTCCGAACCAGATCTAGATGGGCCACAGCCTGGAGTGACTGGCTGGAAGCCGTAGGAGCCAGATCTCTGCCCATCTCGGCACTGGTCGCCATGACTGGGAGGCACCATTATCCATCAGTTCCCCTGGACTTCAGCTCGGGTGTGGTGGCAGTAGTGGATTGGATTTCTATATGACTCTATCCAGCCCGTCGAGTCGATCTACCTGCGCCTCCTTTCCAGTAGCTTTTAGCCGAAGTCCCACTGTCAACTGCCAGGAGTCCAGAGTATTTAAGAGGCCAGAGTACGGGCACAAAAGCGATAGGAAGAAGAAGCCATAAAGGAGTGTTGAATAGCAGAGTCGTCTGAGGTGAACAGTCCCAAAGCCGTAGTCACCCACCGCCATGGGGAAGACTCCAGAATACCACCGCCTCTGGACCATCCTGACAGTCCTCATCTTCTCCCCGGTCTCTGTGCTCGCCCAGAACTACCCACTAGTCCCAGACTCGAGATGTAACTGCTTCCGGACCAACACCACCACATCCCACTACTTCAAAAACCACAAGTTCTTCGACTTCAGAGATTTGTCCCAATACGCCCGCGTGCCGGCTCCAATAGTGACCGCCGAGGGCAGCGCCGCCGCCCCCGTCACAAACGCCTACTTCGAGGGCCCGGCATGGACGAGCACCTGGTCCATCCAGACCTGGAACAATAGCGCGCAGCTGGGCGGCAGTGACTCGGACGGCGCGGCCACGGGCAGCGACGCGTCGGTGCTGATGGTGAACTCGGCCAACAACATCTACATCCAGCACAACGACGATTTGAACGCCAAGTCCAACACCTACATGGTGCTGCGCACCGTCCGCCACGACAGCTTCCAGTCCGCGGCCGAGATCGATTCCGTCTCGGCCGACTACCAGTACCTATCCATCCGCATGCTAGCGCGCACCCGCGGCGCACCGGGTGCCATCACAGCCATGTTCACCTACCACAGAGCCGACCAGCAGTCGCAGGTGCAGGAATCCGACCTCGAGATCCGCACCAGCGACCCCAAGTCCGCCATCCACTACACGAACCAGCCGTCGTACAACGCCTCGGGCGCGGTCCCGCAGGCGACGCGCAACGTCAGCAGGCCGGGCGCCCTGGACTGGTCGCAGTGGCATTACCACCGCATGGACTGGGCGCCCGGGTCCAGCAGCTGGTTCGTCGACGGGCAGCTCGTGTCGTCGATCCAGTTCCAGACGCCCAAGGACCTCAGTAGCGTCGTGTTCAACGCGTGGAGCGACGGCGGCACCTGGAGCGGCAACATGAGCGTCAATACCACTGCCGAGATGCAGATCCAGTGGATCGAGCTCGTGTATAACAACACGGATACCACCAACACCACGTCTCCCGGCGCCCCTGCCAGGCGAGGAGTCACCGGCTTCCCAGCTTTCCCTGGCCAGCAGCTGCAGAACAAGCCGACAAACTCTTCCTCTTGCGCCAACGTCTGCAGCATCGACCAGACATCGAAAGTCGGCACCCCTGTCCTGATCTCGCAGCCTCAGGGTAAGGGTTTCCCCCTTTTCCCTTCTTCTCGTCGTATTCTTTCCTCCTAACGAAGTACCGTACCCAGCAGCTGACATCCCGTCCTCGGCGCAGGCACCCAGATCCCCGGCAGCGGCCAAAGTCCTGTAAAATTTAGGTTTTAAATGGAAAATAGATTGAATTGTGTTCTGCGGGCTCTGCGGCGAAGTTGCGCTGGGAAACTGTAGAATGGGTGCGACAACTGTGCAGTCGGCACGACGTGCAAGTATCAAAATGACTCTTATTCGCAGTGTATGGATGTAAAGGGCCTGACAGTGTACAGGTGGAGCTCTTCGGTCGGCTGCGGCGCGCAATGCTGGGAGATTGGTATGGCTGTCGCGAATATAGATGTGGAAATCTCCGCCACTGCGGCGCCATGCATGCTTAGACTTCGTATGGCAGGAGTGCAAGCCTATAAACGCGGTTCCAGAGCTCGGGCAAAAATAAAGAGAAATAAATATATAACATTCTTACTTTTATAATAGGCTTACTTTTATATAATAAATATGTAACTATTAAGGCTTTAACGTAGATGACAAGCGAGCGGCAATTACAAGCGAACGGCAACTTCTTACTAACCTCTTAACTGCCATGTCAAATAACTTAATCACAATGTGTAAGCAGTCGGGTGGCTCACAGGTGTGCTGTAGCACGCTTCTAGGGGTGACAAGGCTGACAAGGCTGACAGCAGCACTGAAAGGAAGGAACAGCCTGGAAGCGGGCTTTGAGCCTTAGTGTATCTGGAACAAGGGATCTTTACCCTCCGGATCAAAGGCTGGGCATTGCTTTGAAGTTGGTATGTGTATTTAGTACCTGAACAGGTCCCAAGACCCAAGGGTAGATCCGCACCCAGAATGTAAGCAACATGATGACCTGAACCACTGAACCGATCTTTTCCATATAATGCATTCAATTCAATTCAATCAATCGGATTTCTCTTCCTCAGATGTTTCTATCTCTATTGTACAAGTTTGCGCATTATGGCCAGTGTTGCCGCAAACGCCACACCGTCGCTCACGCGCTGCTGCCCTTCTTGGACGACGACTATCTTCATCTATTTCTTGTCTTGCCAGCTCAGTACTATCCTTTATAGCATGAAGACTTACTGTATTTTTAACAAAGAGTATTCCTCTTTTTATTAGACATTTGTTTCTTATTCTCTGGCATTTACTTAATAAGTGATTAGCCTCCTCTAGCTCACAGACCTGGGAATCAACCAAAGTGACCTTGTGCATAAGACCGTATGTAGCCTTTAAAAACGAGTTCAACACATCAATTATTAATGTAGGTGAGCTTTCTTGGTGATTTCTAACTCAATTTCAGATATAAACCAATTAGTTTACCGCTTCGTTAATAGTGATAGGTATCTTTAAAGTCCAAATAGTGGGTGGCAGATTGGTGTCTGGCGACGGTGTTTATATGACAGTGACAGCATCCAGCTTTGAAATGACACTTTCTGGGCCAAAAGAAACAAAGCTAGTGGCATTAAAACCTGCTCAGATGTTTCCTGGCGTCATAGCAGCGTTATGTGCTTCATAAAACGTTGTAAGAAAGTCTTCTTTTAAAACATGAGTTATATAACACCGGATGAGATCCTCAATTATGCGACTATAAGCTCGTTTGAGCGGGCTAAAACAGCCGATATCTAAAGGCTGGAGCCTGTGTGATGAGTGGGCAGGTATATAAAGGGTAATGATACCATTGTTCTGACAATAATTCTCAAAGACCTGGGAATGGTGGCTTTCGTGACATCTAGGATGAGGAGGTGTTTACCGGCGGTCATACACGGTCTGGTATACTTGTTGAAACGCTGAATCCATTTCAAACCGATCTCATTTGTAGTCTATCCATTGTCAGACACGGCCACCTTCTAATCGCGTGGTAATGTCGTGTTGCAATACCATAATGCGAGGTGGGTTTTGCTCTATAAAATGATGAATGACGGGACCACCCAACCATTAGCATTAATAACAGAGATTGTTGTTGACCATTCTCTATTACCTTACTGAGCTTGTTTAGGCCTGTCACGTCTTTCGGCACTTATAACGACTATGCCAGACCTAATAAAGCCCATCATAAACCAAGTCTCATCAAAAGTTATAAATATCCGTGTCTTAGAACCATGTTTTGCGATTGCTGCTGTAATGTCGAACCTACGCGCGATAAACGTCTAGATCTTTGTTCAAAACCCTCTGATAGTTCATCCTTCAATAAAAATGCGTCTGAAAGCCTGGTATGCGTTTAATGAAGTTCCGCGTCCAGTTCTTTCTAATGCGTCCAGTCCCACGTGCTGCCAATAATTGATTTGCTATATCTTCAATATAACTGTGCCGGGATGGAAATGCTCGCGTATCCAGGTCAAGAATGAAGGGAAGAATAGCATTCTCTTTGGAAACTGCAAGTTTTAAAGTATTGGGCATGCGGTCGCGTCGTGATGGCATTCCTTTGATTCTATTGCTCAAAATAGAACAAGGGATGTTAAAGAGTTTCGCAAGCTGAGATATAGAAATATGGGGTTCACATCGTTTAACATGGACAGCTCGCTGTAAGTCTGATTCGTCAAAACGCGGTGCCATTATTGTTGGAAGAGATATAATGGTCTGAATCGTGTTGGTTGGAAAGTTCATGACAAGTGCCAACTCGCTTGTCAGCTACATTAGCCGTACTAGTTACGCAATTATACTTACTAGCCTTTCAATGTCCGCGGCTGGCTTTAAGGCTTTATAAAAGCTTTAAAAGCAGCTAATAAAGTATTTATTAAGTTTACGGCTAGTTTAAAGGCTTTAACCTTTAAGTTAGCCGTATCTTTAACAGCTTTATATATATATATAAAAGACTTTTATTACGAACTTTAATAAGGCTTTTAAGTATGTAAAAAGGTATAAAGTATAATAAAAATTCTTTATATTAACGTTTTTATAACCTTTGAATTTTTAACTTTTTAATATATTTAAATTAATTAAATCATTTATATGATAAAAGCCGTAGATTTTAAACTTACACGGTTTTTTTATTACAGTAATTTTTACAATAATACGACGATGATATTATGTTATAATAATATATTCTTGAATTTAAATTAAACATTAACATTTTAATTTATTATGATTGTTTTCAATATACGTTTTACCATTTTTTACCGATTATTATTACGTCAAGTTTATAGTATTGATCTATTATTTCTTTTATATATATTTAATATAATTTATATAATTGTCACGATGAGCGTACTGATGAGCTGGGGCATGGCCGGCAGCAAGCAGCTATTACTCTATTGACAAGAATATCAAGACTAGAGAAGAAAGGAAGAGAAAGAGAGATAGGTACAGGGGAGGTTGCCCCTTTAAAGGGATCCTCTGATCAGATCCTTCCCTTATTGGGAAGTATCGGCTTGTCATGTGGGAAGGTCTGTGCAGGCCGTCACACTACTCCGCCCCTTATTAGAGTCGGTTTATGACGATGATTTCTTCTGAGTTCTCCTTACTCTTTGCGCAGAGCCTCTTATAGGCAGGTTGTCTTCCTTATGATCAGTTAGGTCCTGATCATCAGTAGCGGCCTCTATCTATTGCTGTAACCTTTGAAGGGGACCTGGCGCCTGGGGATTTGTGTCGTAGAACTCTTTGACGCGTACAGCCAAGCCTCTGAAGTTAGCTGCTGGGTATCACATCGGGTCAGGATCATGACCTGTCCATTCAGCCTGGTACTCCAGCTTGCCTCGGGTTAAGCGGGAGGACAGAAATTTGTTAACTTCCCACTCAGAGACACCATCCACGTGAAGGGAGGCGGTGGAGGGATCACCTGACCTGGGACAGGGTCATTTGGTGACAGTACTAATCGGCTTGCGTTAATGACCCGATGTGCGTTTATCCCAGTGGGTAAGTCAATCTTAAAGGCGTTCTCATTGATCTGTTTGACAACCCGATATAGTCCCATGTAGGGGTTGTCCAACATATCATGTGCGCGGTCAGTACGTCACGTCCTTTGCGTATATATACCATATCTCCTGACTTCCAGTCAATTAGTTGTCAGGACTTGTCAGCCTATTTTTTGTCTTTTGCTTGTGTCTTAAAGAGGTTAGTTTTGGCCTATGCCACGGCCTGCGCCTGGCGTTCAGCAAACTCTTGAGCATTTGAACGAGTAAGCCTCTCTATAATAGGCATCTTTCTTGAGAGGGGACCACATTTTCCCAGTCAAATATCATAATTAGAAGAAACCCCATTTCAACCTCAGCTGAGAATAGGCCAGTGCTTGCGCGAGATTGTGTGGCATAGGCTAAATCCAGACAGGGCAGCAACTGAGACCAATTATCCTGAAAGTGGCTTATGAAGGGTCAGAGCTTGGTCTGGAGGAACTGGTTGATGATCTCTGTCTGATCAGCCGTCTGAGGGTGCTCTACGGTAGAGTGGCGTAGGTCCATCCCTATAAGCTTGGCTAATTCGTCTAAGAAGGCAGCAATAAACTGAAGACCACGGTCTAAAGTCATAGTCTCATCTGTGCAATAGACCCTCTAAGGTCCATTGAAGTATAAGGTGGTGAGGTCCTTGGCTGTACATGTCTTATATGTCAGAATAGACCACGGGCGTTTGCCTAGTCAGTCTACCACCACATAAATCGTGTTATAGCCTAGCTTGTCTTTTGGCATGGTCTTGAAGTCCGTAGAGACATGTTGCCAAGGACGATCTGGTATAGGCAGGGATTGTAGCAAACCGGCTGGCTTGAGACGGAGTTGCGACCTCTGCCACATTCTGGGCAATGAGCGCAATAGCGGTCTATAAAAGCACCCATACCTGGCCAGGAGTAACGCTCTGCTATTAAGGCACGCATCTTGTTCTGACTAAGGTGTGCACAGGAAGGTAGTCTGTGAATCTCATCACAAAGTCGTGTGTGTAGGTGCCCCTCATCAGGCACCACAAGGCGTCCCTCTTTCAACAACAAGCCATCAACAAGACTGTAGTCCTGCTGACTGTGTTTAGCTCTTTCATGCTCAAGAAACAAGGTCTCTGAAGAGCGGTTGGCTGTCAAGATGGCATCAATAAGCTGAACACCCTTTAGAGAACCGTCAGGGTCCTGGTTGTTGGCTTCTAAGGTGGCCACAATGGCACATACCAGGT